TCTGTTTACATCAGTGGTAAGGAAAGGAGCATCGTAGCCCTACCATCTCCTGAATGGTTTGGGATGGAAGCAGAGATGTTCTTATTCCCTGTGCTCCTGGAGGGCTTGGAAGGCCTCAGCCAGTCTGAGAATTGGAGGAGCACACCAGCAGTTGAGGTCCTTAGGAGACTTGGGACCTTACTTTCCCTCCATGGGAATTCTGCATCTTACCAGCCATGGGTTTAGCTTGCTCTGCTGTGTAGGCCACTCCTGCCATCCCCCTGATCTGGAACAGAGAAATAATGGGGGTCAGCTCTGTGATTGTCAAGAGGCCGGAGGAGTCCAGGGAATGAGCCTGTCTGATTGGATCCTGGATTTGTCCTTACTGCTGGACTTAGAATTCAACCACACCTCCAGGGGGAGTATGTGTGTTCTTGGGTTAGTTACCAAGATGGGAATGTGGGCCTAAATAACAGGAAGGACTGACTGTTAAGCTCATTTCCCATGGGGTCAGGCACTTGCTAGAAGGCCAAATTGCATGTAAAGATTGTGCAGCCCTTGTTCTTGTCCTATAGTGGGTTAAAAAAAACCCATTTTCCCCATTTTTGGTAAGAGTACCATCAACCATTCTAGAAACTTCCTTAAGTAAATCAAGGTGTACCCTCAAGCACACCTCAAAAGACATATCCCTTAAGTCACTGCCATTAGGCCCTCCCCTCTTCCCTGTACAACATCAGGCTTTCCCAGGCCCCCATCCCTCCCCACGTGCCCACACTTCCTTTCCCTGCTCCCTCCAACTGCTTGCCCTGTTGCTCTGAAACTAGTTCTCAAACTGTGGGTCTCAACCCCTCTGTGTGTCCAGGGACCTTTTCACAAGGGTCGCCTGAAACCATCAGAAAACATATTTTACATTAGAATTCATAGCAGTAACAAACTTAGAGTTATGAAGTAGCAACGAAAATAATTTTATGGTTGGGGGTCAAGAGGGTCACAGCAGTAGGAAGGTTGAGAACCATTGCTCTAAAGGCTGCTTAACTCTAAGTCAATTCTCTGCCATTGCTTGTCATTACAGCACTCAGCAGTGCCCAGGAATCTGGTATTAGCATCTGTTCTCCCGGTGCGAGGCCCCAGGAGAACTAAGACCTGTTAGGAACACAATCCCCAGACCCTTGTCAGGAAACTTGTGGCAGATAAAAGAGGTTGCAGGTGCCAGGATTTGCTAATTCGAATGTAGAGTGAAAAATCAGACTCGACGAGGCTCTCGATTAGGTTAAAGGATTGTTCACCAGAATTCCAGCAGAACTGGGAGCGTCGCATCAGAATTATATACCCTGATTTATTTTTTTTATCGAGAGGGCTTCCATTGTAGCCCAGGCTGCTTCGTGCATTATTCCTGGAGAGCTTGTGTGCACAGCCTCCTCAATCGGGGGCATGCGCACCACTGTGTGTTTCAACCATGCCAGACGTGCAAATGCAGGCGTTTTCTAAGTCTCACCACGCAGCTCCGACCCTGCGCCCGCACATGCGCACATGCGCTCGCCCTGCCCCTCCCCCCCTCCCTGGACGTGCCGGACTACACGCAGCCAGCCTAGGTACTGGGTGTGCTCGCGACCTCCTGTGCTTGGCCTCGCGCTCGCCGGCCTGGCAGACTGCGTGCGCGTGCCCGGAGCTCCGCCCCGCCCGGGGAGCGCGCTCCCCAGGCTTCTTGGCCCAGTGACTCAGCATCTCCCGCCGGTCGGCAGCCTCTGAACCACTCGCCGACCTGTTTTGCTGCTTTCATTCCTCGCTTCCCATCTTCCGCCTTCGCATCCCCCACAGCAGCCTACAACCCCACAGTTACTCCTGTGGGGCAGGCTCTATTCAAAGCATTATCTGGCCAGATACCCAGGCCTCAGGTTCTTTGCTCTTTGCTTCCCGCCAAAGGCTGGGAAGTGCCAGCTTCACGAAACTTTACCAGGGCTACCTTGTAGAGAAGTTCGAGCCTCACTGGACTTTCTAAACCTGTCTCTACTGTCAAATCCCATGATCCGGTGCACGGGCTCGGTAATCTTGCTGAAGGCAGTTGACTGGTTTGAGCAGGCTCTCATGCACTTTCTGGGCCAGGTTTTCTACAGAATGGTGCTTTGTCCGTGTCCTGTAGGCATGACCTCAAGAAAGTTCACTGGCCCCCTGACCGAAGCCTTTTCTCCGTGGTTTGCAGTGCTTGGTATAAAATGCTCTAATACTCTGTTACAGTGGGAATAGAAAACACGAGATTTTTTTTTTTTTTTTTTTTTTTGAGACAGGTCCTCATGTAGCCCTGACCTAGAATTTGCAATGCAGACCAGGCTGTCCTTGAACTCTCATAGTGCTGGGATTAAAAGCTGCACCACCATACAGTTCCTATCAGATCGTTTTTTAAAAGGCATGTATGGTGACTGGCAGGTAGGTGAAACACCCCTTGTACCCAAGTATGGTAGTGCACACCTACAACTTCAGCATTCTGGAGGCCCAGGCTGAATCTTTGTTGTTGTTTTGTTTTTAGTTTCTTTCGGGATAATGCAGGCTGTGTCCTGGAACTCACTCTGTAGACCAGGCTGGCCTCGAACTCAGGCCCTCTGTCTGCCCCCTGAGTACTGGGCTTAAAAGCATGTACTACCACCACCACCACCAGGCCAGGCTACATCTTAAAAAAAGAAAGAAAGAAAAAAAAAAAAAAAAAAAAGATTTAAAGGGTGACTCAAAACAACAGGTAGACCAGACCACCCAGAGCCTAATCTCCAGGGGTCATTCTCTTATTTCCGAAGATCAAAGCAGAGATGGCTCAGCAGGGAAGTCAGTTGGTCCTGATTCCATTCTTCTCTGATAATTCAGAGAAAGGGCAGGAAGAAAGTCTCAGGGGTTGTCATCAAAAGCACCTACTATAAAGTCTTTGGATGCTGCTGGGCCAGAGTCTGAGGACCCCTGGGGCAGTTACAGCTAAGACTGGCATTATTGTTAGTGCAGGTCCAGGGTGGGAGCGCTTTTTATTATTGCTCTGTGTGTGTGTGTGTGTGTGTGTGTGTGTGTGTGTGTGTGTGTGTGCGCGCGCACACACACACACATGGAGGCCAGAGAACAACCTTGAGCACTGTCCCTTAGGACTGCTGTCCACCACTTTATTTTTAATAACACTTACTTATTTGAAGGGATGTGACACAGTGTGCCTGTGGTCAAAATACAATTTACGGGAGTTCATTTTTATCAATGTGGATTCCAGGAATCAATCAAACTTAGATTATCAGCCTTGGCAGCAAGTGCCTTTAGCTGATGAGCTATCTTGCCAGCCTTCCTGCCCATCCCCCCCCTTTTTTTTCAAGATAGGGTCATACTATGTAGCCCCAGCTGTCTTGGAACTCAGTATATAAACCAGGCTGGCCTCCACCTGCCACCTGCCTCTGCCTCCGGAATGCTGGGGAAAAGGTGTGTATCACTGCTGGGCTTATTAATATATTTTTCAGCTTTTTTTTTTGAGGCAGGGTCTCTTGCTGAGACCCTGAGGCTCTCTGACCATTGAACCCTAGGATCCTCTTGTCTCTTTCTCCCTAGCATTGAGATTGCAAGAGACCACCCTGCACAACTTTTTACATGGGCTCTGGAGAGTAAATGTGTCCTCATCTCTGGGGCAAGGGCTTCGCTAAACTCTCTCCTCGGTCCTTCCCCCCCCCCTTTTTTTGTTTGTTTGTTTGGGTTTTTTGTTTTGTTTTGTTTTGTCTTTCAGACATGCTGGCTTCAGACACTTTGCTGATACTGGCTTTGAACTCTCGATCTTTCTTCCTTTCCTTCCCTAGTGTTGGGATGATGCTGCCACCCCAGTACTGCATGTCCAGCATTGTCTTGAAAAATGATCCCTCACAGGCATGCACCTCACCTACTCTTCCTCATTACAAGTCTTTGTTCCTCGTCAGAATTGTGGGTGAGAATTCCAGGAGGCTGGATCCCCAACTGGGGATCTTGACCTTTCTCCCCAGGAAATTGGGGAGTCTTCATTTACTCAGTCCCCCATGCCCACCTCCTGCCTTGCCTCCTTCCAGACCCGGTTTATTTCACTGACCTCCTGTGTCACGATGACCCTTTATACTACCTGTCAGATGAAGTCCCTGCCTGTTTAGAGTCCTTCAGTGGCTTCTCATACCTAAACAAAAATCAATACTCTCACAATGATTTGCAAGCCGCTGGGTGAACTCTCTTTTTGTCTAATGTCATCCTCTATGGTTTTCCCTCATCTGCTCCACTCCGGCCACAAGCGTCCCTTCCGTTTGCGGGACATCTATAGGAGCTCTTCTCTCAGATTTCTATTCCCTCAGACAGAACACTTTTCTTCCAGGTGGCCAACTGGCTCATTGCTTCACCTTTAGTAGTTATTGTGTGTGAAGGTAGGTAGGTATGTGCAGGAGAATGCAAGTTACTTTGGAATTCATAGGCACCTGCAGCAGGAGTTACAGGCAGTTGTAAGCTACCCTTTGGGTGCTGGAAACTCAGTTCAGGTCCTCTGAGAGATATATGCATCTGAGAGATATATGCAATACGAGCTTTTAACCACTGACCCATCCCTCCTTCCCCTGCCTAATCCAGTTTGCCTCTTCTCAGGAGCACTAGCGAGCTCTGAAATCCTTAAATTCTATTTTCTTATCTGGTTTATGTAATCACAATACTTGCAGTACTACCTCTAATCAAGAGTTAGAGGTAGAGTTCTCTAGAGTTTTGTTTCATAGAGGTTTTTTTTTTTAATTGAATAAATGAATGAAAGAAGGAGGCCCACCAGGCATGGGAAGCTCCGCCTCTGCCCTTCAAGTCACTTCCGGGCAGAAGCCAACCAAGGGACATCGCAAATGGCCAGCAGAGGTCCCTAGATCTGCAGCCGCTGCCAAGGTCGCGTAGCGGACGCGGAGGACAGGGGCGGGGCGTGGCCGCGGCTCCGGAGGCGGGGCACGGAGGGGCGGGGCCGGACGCCTGCGCCATAAAGACCGCTGCGTGCACGGTCCCCGGGTTCGCTGCGCGCTGCCGCTCCTTTTTCCTTCCTCTTCCGTGCACGTCCAGCTCCGTGTACCTCTCCAGTCCCGCCATGGCCGCGCTCACCCGGAACCCGCAGTTCCAGAAGCTGCAGGAATGGCACCGTGCGAACCACGCCGAAATCAACCTGCGGGACCTTTTTGAGCAGGATCCGGAGCGCTTCAACCAATTCAGGTTTGCGCGCAGAGTTGGGGCCAAAGGGCTCCCGGGACCCCCAGCCGCCCCTCGGGGCCCAGGTCGGAGTATCATTTTGTCCTTGACTCCTCCTTGGAGTGGGTACTTGGGGCCCGCGTGCCCACTGGAGGACCGGGGCTGCTTAGTCATGAGGAGGAGCGGCCCCCCCACGGGGACCCTTCTGTCCCTTCGCCCCCGCCTTCCAGTCTCATCCTTTCGAGAAGGGATTTCTAACCACCCGTGAGGAGGAGGAGGAGCCCTTGCTGCCGCGACCGACAGGAGAGAGCTGTCCCCTCCCACCTGTTTCTCTAGGGCTTGGGTCGGGAAGGGGAGGTAGGCTGAGGTTTGCTGGGAGCCAACGGTGTAAAAATGGAGCCGTGGAGGCACGACGCAGAGGCCAGAGAGATTCGCGAACGACTGCTAAATAGAAGGGAGGGTAGAGGAAATCTTGCATGTGATGCATCCGGGTATTCCTTGTCACTGATGCTGGAAGGCTAGGGACGTGCGATGACCACCTGTGGCTCCTTACTAGATGGATGGAAGTCCCTGATACTTATGCATTAGTGTTTCCTAGTGAGTTTGAGACAAGAGAAGCTCTGAGGTGGAGTGGTTGTGCAGGGCAGCCACGCACTTTCCGTCTAAACCGTGCTCCTAGCTCGGGATCTGTCTGTATCTTGGTTTTTTTTGTTTGTTTGTTTTTGTTTTTGTTTTTTGTTTTTTTTTTTGGCATGGCTTCTTCCGCTACACTGCTGCAGGTCAGTCAGCCTGTGTGGCCAGGCCACAGGCACTGCCCCTGGGGTGTGGCCAGCAGCTTCTGCATCTTCCTGCAGCTTGAACCTCAACACCAACCATGGACATATTCTGGTGGATTACTCCAAGAACCTTGTGAACAAGGAGGTGATGAAGATGCTGGTGGAGCTGGTAATGTCCGGATTGGGGGAACTGTGAACTCGGATTTGGGTGTGGAGGTGCGAGGGGTTGTTTGGGTTCCGGGTCCAGGTTTGCAGTGGAATCCCAGGAAGCTCCAGGGCCCGGTATTTGAGCAGACTCTGGGAAGGCAATGGAGATGGAAAACAGGCCCTGACCATCTGTCAGCCTCACTGGGGATTTGAACTTGGGATGGCCAGTGGGGATGGCATGCCAGGCCTCAGTGCATTCTCTTCCTAGGCTAAGTCCAGGGGTGTGGAGGCTGCACGGGAAAACATGTTCAATGGTGTGAAGATCAACTACACTGAGGTGAGCAGTTGCAGTGGGCATCAGGATCCACCTGCCCACCCAGGCTTCCTCCTTCCCTTAGCTCACCAGACTGTTACCCATCGCCCTGTGTCTTCCCCCTTACTCTTAAGCAATGCTTTTGCCTCGCGAAGGTGCTAAAAGGCTTCTGGTTTGGCGGGGGTGGTTGCAGAGCTTTGGGGTGTGTCTTCTCCGAGGCTGACTGCTGCACTTGGCCAGCAAATTGGAACAGTCCCTGGTGCCTGTCCAGGGAGAGGATTGCTTAAGGCTTGCTCAGACATTTTCTTGGAGAATTTCTTCTTTGATACTCTGGTGGATTCTTGCTGCAAGTTACACTGGTGACAAGAGGAATCATGTCACCAAAGCCTTTAGTCTCTGGCGGTAGAGTGAATACGAAGCGGGGTTAAGGCAAGTGTTGGGGAGCCCTGCCCCTGACGCGTGGGAGCCTGCAGGCGCAGTCAGCACTCCATACTTGTTCTCCGTGTCTGTGTGCGTGTGTGGGTGTCTGGTGTGTGTGAGTGAGTGTGTGGGTGTCTGGTGTGTGTGTGGGAGTGAGTGTGTGTGTGTGTGAGTGTCTGGTGTGTGTGGGGGTGTGTTTGGGGGGTGAATGTTTGTGTGGGTGTGTGTGGGGGGTGTGAGTGTGTGTGGGGGTCCTGCAGAGGTGTCATTTTCTCTTGGAACAGGAGTTAGAGGTGGTTGTGAGCTGCCCTTGTATTGTGTGGGCTACGAATCACACTCTGGCCCTTTGGAAAGAGGAGCTCTTGACTGCTGAGCCATGTGTCCCGCTCTGGGTCTTTTTCACATTGAGGAGTCTGAGGCTTGGAGCAGCTGATCTTGCTCTGCTGGCGTGGATTTGCATAAGGAACATGGGGAGTCAGACGGGTGGGCTGGCATTGGGCTCTCCCACTCACAGGGAACTCACCTCTCCCTGAACTGCGATTGATTTCTTAGCCATCTGGGACCTTTGCACCTGTTTCCTTCCAAGATTGCCATTGTCTTTTGCTGGATGGGCCATTTTGCTCTGCTCAGCACTTGTCACCGCTCCAGTGACAAGAGAAGTTTCGTTTTGTGGCAGTTGTGGCCGTGAGGCTGTTTGGTTGCCCGTCTTGCTTCATATCCCGAGGCCTCTGGACAGTTTTAGAAGGTGCAACAGACACGAAGTCCTCTCATCAATCAGGAGGGCTCAGACTGTTAGGCTTACTGGCGGCTGGTCCACTGAACGGGTTTATTGCTCATCTCTGACCTCTACTGTCACCTTGTCACTCCTGATCCTTTGGTCACTCTGTTCTCTCCAGGCTTTTGATGCCCTGGGGTCCTTCCTTTTAGGCATGTTCAGGTCTGCTCTATCTGCTTCTGACTGCCCACAGCATGCAGGGTTAGGCATGGCTCCCCGTCCTCAGTCACTCCAGAAGCATGAGATAGGTTCTCTGTCTCTGTACGAGGCTGTGGTGGTAATGGGTCTCTGGTGCACAGGGCGCTGAGCCACACTGTCCCTCCCCCTGTTGGGAGCACTCTAACTGTAGGGTGTATAGTAGCTCTTCATTCTCCAACCTTCATCTCTAGGATCGGGCAGTGCTACATGTGGCCCTCCGGAATCGGTCCAACGCACCCATTGTGGTGGATGGCAAAGATGTAATGCCAGAGGTCAACAGGGTTCTGGACAAGATGAAGTCTTTCTGCCAGGTGAGCTGATGCTAGCCTAGACGTGTAGACGTGCCTTCGTGTGTGTGTGTGTGTGTGTGTGTGTGTGTGTGTGTGTGTGTGTGCATGTGTGCATGAGCGCACGAGCTGATGCTAACCTAGATATGCCTTCGGATGTGTGTGTGCTGATGCTAGCCTAGACGTGCCTTCGGGCATGTGTGTGTGTGTGTGCGCGTGCGTGCGTGCGTGTGCGTGCGCACACGTTCGGGAATCTGGCCTTAGTGCTTTCCACAGAGGCAGGATGTAGGGCCTGCTGCAGCCTCAGGTGGGGGTGACCTGTGTGATTACTGACCCTGGCATCTCTGCTGAGACCAGAATGTCCCTCAGCTCTTTTCAGAGTGAGCACACTCCTCCTCCCGAGGTCTGGGACTGCAGATGTGTGCCACCACGACCTGTTGTATGGTGTGGGAGGTGTCGGGGATGAGGAGTATCAAACTTAAGGCTTCACATAATAGGGAAGCTCAGCTACCAACTGAGCTACACCCGGCTCCCCCTCCCTGTAGCTAATTTACACCAGAAAAATGTATAAGATGCCTCTGGGCCACTGCCCTGCAACGCACACAGACCCCTTGTTTTTCCCTCCCCTCCTCCCCCCCTTGTTTGTTTGTTTGTTTGTTTAAGATTTATTTATTATGTATGCCTGCACTCCAGAAGAGGGCATGAGATCTCATTACAGATGATTGTGAACCACTATGTGGTTGCTGGGAATTGAACTCGGGACCTCTGAGCCATCTTTCCAGTCCCCCTTTCTTCCCTTTCTGAAACAGGGTCTAACTATGTAGCCCTGGTTGGCCCGGAACTGGCCTGTATAGACCCTAGTGACCTAGGACTCAGAGATCCACCCACCTCTTCCTTCCTAGTTCTGGGATTAAAGACTTACAAGGGTGATGGTGACACGCACCAGCACTTGGGAGACAGAGGCAAGCAGATCTCTGAGTTTGAGGGCAGCCTGGTCTAAAGAGTGAGTTCCTGGCCAGCCAGGGCTACACAGAGAAGAAACCCTGTCTTGAAAATCCTCTTCTCTCCGTATATGGGTTGCCTTAGAGACCAGCTACATTTACCTCATAATCCATTGTGGCCTCAGTGTGTATCCCCTGGGTAGCCCTGCACAGATGGTAGAAGTTACCAAGTCTGGGGTGCGGGCGTGGCAGGGGTGATCCTGTGGGTGTGTGCGTGTGTGCTGGGCATGCTCAGATCGTGATCGTCTGGTCAGCTGTGATTGCTCTGGATTTGTGCCTGAAAGCAACAGCTCACAAGGGCTGCCGTGTGTGGCTGGTCAAAGTCTGCTTTGCCTTGGCCAGAAGTCATTTTTAGACTGGAAAGTGACATAGGCAGCCACCCGGATGCAGGGCTTCCTGGGACGAGGAAGGCTAGGAGAGGCTTTGTGTGTGAGGAAGGGCATTCCTAGCCCTCTGCTGTGTGGGGCAGAGTGGACCCTGGCTGTCTGTTCATCCTGTGTGTGCTCAGGCATGCTGGGTGGACAGGGTACCATCAGTGCTGTCCAGGACGATACTCCCTTTCAGCTGTCGTCGGACTGGCTGACTCAGGCTGACTAGGTATTTTTAGTGCAGAATATGAGGCTTGGTTCTAGGGATCGTGCCTGTAATCCAAGACTGAAATAGGATTGACAGCCCCTGGCCAGCCTGGGCTACATAAGGAGACCCTTTGTCCAAACAAAAACGCTGCTAACCAGTGGTACTCCCGGTGAGGAATTCTACTTCCTCGGTTCTCTGAAAAGTAAATAGTACAGTCAGGCACAGTGGTTCACGCCGATGATCCTAGCAGTAGGGAAGCTGAGGCAGGAGAATTACCAGGTCAGTGTGCCATCGTAGACTGGATAGTGAACCCCTCAAACCAATCAACACAACAGAAAAGCTAATATACCCATGTCTGTCTGTCGGTCTGTCTTTGTCATTCTGGGAGTTGAATTCAGAGTCTGGCATGTGACAGGCAAGAACTTGAAAAGAGATATTGTTTAAAGCAATGAATATACCAGTCAGTATGACCCGTATATCCATGTATCAGAGTGTCACAGTGTGCCTCCTAAGTGTGTCATCTGTCAAATGAAAAGTTACAAGAAACAAGAACCATTGTTTTCTGTGCTACCGGTAGCTATGGTTGCATTGTCCTGTTGTACTGTTTATAATATTCTAGGAAGTTCCCGAATGTGGTCGCATCCCAGCACTGTGGAGGCTGATACAGGAGGATGAGTCTGAGGCTAGCCTGGGGTTCAGTAATGACACTTATTTACAAGCACAGAACAACAATCCAACGATAAAAAGAAATGGCATGCTGGGCAGTGGTGGCTCATGCTCCGTTAATTCCAACACTCGGGAGACAGAGGCAGGTGAATGAACCTCTGAGTTCCAGCCTGGTCTACAGAGTGAGTGCCAGGACAGCCTCCAAAGCCTCACAGACAAATTCTTGTCTTGAAAAAGCCAAAAGAAACAAACAAACAAAAAAGGAAGCGGCACATGGAGATTATATTATTAGCAGCGTGTCTCATAGCGTGTGGTGGGGGGAGGGGAGGCACTTTGTTTTTGTAAACCCTGGAGTGAGGTTGAAAGTGAGAAGATGGACAGCTAAAGGTCTCCATAGTGTCTCTTATCTGCCTGTCTTAGCTCCATTCAATTCGGACACTAGTTCTTAGTAAGACTTAGAAGGACTCTTTAAGAGGCTTATGTGTGTGTGGGGGGGTGTCAGTCTGTTAGACAGTAGCTGTAGGCACAGATTTCTCCAAGGTGAGTTCATAAAACTGTTCCGCTTTGCTATTCGTTCATGCGCTTAGTTGTACGTGGGCACACACGGCTACAGAGCATGTGGAGGTCTGAGTACTGCTGGTGGGGATCAGGTCTCTCGCGGGTCACGTGGTTCCCAGGGAATGAACTCTTCCTGCCTTTGCCGTACTGGGGTGACAGGTGTGAGCCACCTCGTCCAGTTTGTGCAGCGCGGGGGTTAAGCCCAGGCCCTGGTGCATGCTAGACAAGCTGTATCCCCAGCCCAACAAAGGGGTTTGTTGTTGTTTGTGTAGTTTTTGAGACAGGGTTTCCCTACATAGCCCTGGCTATCCTGGAATTCATTTTCTTGAAAGTCAAGCTCATAGAGATCTGTGCCTGCCTCTTACCCGGTGTGTGCCACCTAGCCTGGAAACAAAGGGGTTCTTAAAATAGGTTTATTTGAGGGCTGGAGAGATGGCTCAGCGGTTAAGAGCTCTCACTGCTCTTCCAGAGGTCCTGCGTTCAGTTCCTAGCCCCCACATGGCAGCTTAAAGCTCTCTGTAACTCCTGTTCCACTGGATCTGATGCCCTCATACAGATATACTGGCAGGCAAAACACCAATGCACATGAATAAAAATAAATTATTTTAAATAGTTATTTTTTATTGTGTGTATATTTGCGTGTCTCTGTGGGTATGTGCATATGACAGAACCCTGAAGAGGGTGCCATACGATGGAGCTGCAGGCTATTGTGACCCACCGTTGTGGATGCTGGGAACTGAACTTGGGTCCTCTGCAAGAGAAGTGTACACCTTTTTTGGTGGGGGTAGGGATTCAATACAGGGTTTCGCTGTGTTGCTTTGTCTCTCTGTAAACCAGGCCGGCCTCGAACTCAGAGATCTGCCTGCCTCTGCTTCCTGAGTGCTGGGATTACAGACATGTGCCACCGAGCCTGCCCTACAGAAATTCCTTTCCCTACAGTTTCCAGTAACACTTTCCTGTCCTTTCTTTAAGCCCATACCAGCAGCTGTCGCAGGGGTATCTTATCTTTTTTAGGGTTTCACTCTGAGCCTTCGGTCAGAGTGTTAGGTTTGTTTAGGGACAGTCATGGTGGACTCACGATAGTCTAGCCTCCCAAATGCTGCTATTACTGCCGGCATATGCTATCACATCCAGTTTGTCTACGTTGCCAATATTTTATTTTATGTAGTACAGGTATTTTGTCTGTGTACTTCAGGGAGTGTGTGTGTATGTATTCATACAATGCCCAGAGACTAGAAGGCAATGTTAGATATCATGGGACTGGAATTACAGATGGTTATGAAGCTGCCTTGTAGGTACTGGGAGCCGAACCTGGGTCCTCTGGAAGAGCAGTCAGTTCTCTCAACTGCTGAGCCATCTCTCCAGGCTCTTGTTAAAGTTTTGACTAGAATCATATCCTATGACTTACATCAGTTCAATGGTAGATCATTGTTGAGTCATTTGACGGTAGACATGGCTATTTGACATGGCGTCTCTGGATCCCCAGTGGTTGGGGGGGGAGGTCCAGTTTTACTTGCATTGTTTAGCTCGGGGCTCTATTGAGGTTGTAGTCAGTGTTGGCCCATGCTGCAGTTCTCTAAAGGTATCAGTTCTGGAAGATTCTGTGAATGACAAGTTGGTACTGCTTTGGAAGGAATCCTTGGTTCCTTTCCCTATGGGCTCAGTCACAGGACTGAGTGTAGACAACATGATAGATGTACTCTTTAAAGAGAAATCAGGGAGTTGAAGGGATGCTTGTGTGGTTAAGAGCACTGGCTGCTCTGGCAGAGGACCTGGGTTCCATTTCCAGCTCCCACATGGCAGCTCACAACCCTGTGTACAACCCTGTGTAACCCCAGTTCTTCTGGCCTCCACAGGCACAGACCGCATATACAGGTGTACATCCATGCAGGCAGAAATCTCCTGCACATAAAATGAAAGAATAATTTACCCCGGGGAGGGGGTCAGAGAACAAAGCAGAAGGTTTAGGTTGTTAGGAGCAAGCTTCCCGTCCACACAGGATCATTTTTACAATACCCTTGTGAGGTCACAGACCAGCACTATTAAACAGGGGTGGAAGTCCTACAGGGATATGGACCAGGACACAAGGATCACTTGGAAGCGGCGTGACTTGGTAGCATAGGTTGTGAGCTTAGCAATTCGGAGGCTGAAGCAGGGGGATTGCCCGTATAAGGTCAGCCTGGGCTACATACATAGTAAGATTCTGTGTCTTAAACCGTATGGGCTGGGGATTTAGCTCAGTGGTAGAATTCTTGCCTAGTGTGCAAGGTCTGGGATTTGACCCAGAATTATTTGGAACTCTAGGTAGAAGCTGGCTGCTTGTTTTTAGGGTTTTTTTTTTTTTAAATCTAATTTATTTAAATTTATTTTATGTGCACTGATTTGAGGTGTCAGGTCCCCTGGAACTGGAATTACAGAAAGACAGTTGTGAGCTGCCATGCGGTTGCTGGGAATTGAACCCGGGTCCTCTGGAAGAGCAGCCAGTGCTCTTTAACTACTGAGGCGTCTCTCCAGTCTCCTTGTTTTAAAAACTTTGACATCGTCCCTGTGAGACCCCGTTACGTCCCACTTTGTCAATGAGGACATACAGCCATCTGGTGGGGGGCGTGTTCATACAGAGAATGTCCACAGTAGACAGGCTTTTGGTCTTTGAACAAGGGAGTGTATTAAGTATGTAGCAAGCAAAAGTTAACAACAGTGAGCAGATAACTAATCATCAGATGGGGTGTTTGCAGCACCCTGAAGAACAACTGGAGTCGCCTGATTGGCTGAGCGAGCAAAGTGACATCATCAAAGCGTCCAGCAGGGGCGAGAGGGGATGCCCTGCGAAAGCAGCCAGGCTAGCGTGGCTGAGGGAGAGGCTTCAGATCAGAACAGCCCTAGCTTTCTGTGGGCTTTTCTCCTACTGTGCGTGCGTGGGCGCGAGTGCTTGTGTGCGCAAATGCTTGTATGCATTAACGTCCATGTGCGCATGCGTGGTGCCTGTGGAGGTCAGAAGAGGGCATCAGATCCCCTGGAACTGAAGTTACAGATGGCTGTGAGCCACCGTGCAGTTCTGACTCTGAACCAGGATAGCACGTGTCACAGGACGTGACCTCCAGAGGCCCCTGAGAGGCAGTTGTCATAGAGGCAGAAAGACCCAGAAGGGGGGATGTCTTTGAGCTGTGGCCTCTCCGTGTGCATTGAGTTAATCGTTTCTCACGGTTCTGTACCAGCGGGTCCGGAATGGTGAGTGGAAGGGGTACACGGGCAAATCCATCACGGACATCATCAACATCGGCATCGGAGGCTCTGACCTGGTGAGGAGCTCGCCTTGGGTGGACAGGGTGAAGGGAGGGAACAGCCAGTCCCTAGAACCTGTGTCTCCCTGCAGGGGCCCCTCATGGTGACTGAAGCCCTCAAGCCATACTCTGCAGGAGGTCCCCGCGTCTGGTTTGTCTCTAACATTGACGGAACCCACATTGCCAAAACATTGGCCAACCTGACCCCCGAGTCTTCCCTGTTTATAATCGCCTCCAAGGTATGGCGCTGGGGGTGGGGAGGCTGGGTGGATTGCCCTGGGCGGTGGAGTGTCGGGACCGGTTCTGAGTGAACAGAGGTGCTTTGTGGAGTGGGTTAACACAGCGGCCCTCGGGTGCTTCCCTGTCTGGCAGCAAAAGAGCTTTACCTAATAAAAGCCTGAACCTGCTCAGTTTGGACCCTTGTCATATGCCACACCCATTTTATGTGCTTTCTGGTGTGTGTGTCTGAGTCTGCTGATGGGAACTCAGTCTCACACATGCTAGGCCAGTAATCTACCACTAAACTCCACACCCAGCTAGCCTTGAATTTACTCTGTAGCCCAGGCACATCTTGAAGTGTAGATCCTTCTACCTCAGGTCCTCAAGTAGATTACAGGCAGGCTCTTGTCCTAACATAATATACCTCTGGTGCTTTCTTTATTTTCTCTCTCTCTCTTTTTGGTTGAGACAGGCTTTCTTTGTGTCTCCCTGGCTGCCCTGGTACTCTCTCCTTTAGACCAGGCTATCCTTGAACTTAGAGATCTGCCTACATGGACCTCCTGAGTGCTGGGTGACACGTCTTTCTTAGCAGATCCATCAGTTACCTTTTCCCTCTCTCCCTCCCCATTTTCCTTCCCATCCTCCCCTCTGAGGGTTTTGAGATTCGGGTCTTTTATAGCTGAGGTAGCTCCCGCTCAGCCTTCTGAGCACTGGGAATGCAGGTGTGTACCAACCACGCCTGGCACATTGTGCTTTTCTGATTTCAGAGCACTGACCTGGGTCCGTTTGTTTGTTGTCGTTTATGGCCTATGTACCCTAACACACACACAATGCTAAAAAGCCCGTCAGACAGGCAGCAAGATGGTCCCGCAGGTAAAGGGACTTGCCACCAAGCCCGATGACCTGAGTTTGGTAGGGGAGAATTGCTCCCAAAAGTTGTCCCTAACATGGGGGGCATTCTTGCGCCTCCCCCCCTCCTCCATGTAATAAAATTGAAAAATAGAATTCCAGCTGAATTGTGAAATCCAGCCTAGGCTGAACTGGAGAGAACTCGAAATTTGCTCAGCCCCCTCTCCTGGGAGATGCCTGACCTGCAGGGTTTGGGTTCTGGGTGGGGCTTGGGTGGGGCCCTTTCCCCCCTGGATGTGAACTGCTAGGATGAAGGCTGCCGCCGCCCTCAGTGGCCCTTAGTGCTGTGACACTGCCTGCAATCTTCCTGGGGTGCTGAGTGGCCTCTGCTGCCGCCCCCGGGCTGGACTGAGTGCCACACTCTCTGTTGTAGACCTTCACCACCCAGGAGACCATCACCAATGCAGAGACAGCAAAGGAGTGGTTCCTCAACTCCGCCAAGGATGTGAGTGAGCGCTGGGTGTGTGTGTGTGGGGGGGGGGGGTCTCCCTCCCTCCATCCCTCCATCCCCCTCTCTCCTAAAGGTGGAAGCAGGAGTTGGCCTTTTTTGGCTCCTTTATAGCTTTGGGTCCCCCCCCCATCCCCTCCCCCTCCCCCGGGCACAAGCAGAACCTGCTCTGAGCGGCTAAAGGCCCTTCCGTTCTTTCACTCACTTTTAGTAGCTTCCATACTGTGATGAGAATCCTCTCCTAAAGTCCCTTGGCCCCTCGAATCGTGTCTGCTCGCAGCCACCACACCCATTTTACACTGGGGGAATCTTGTCACTCCTTGGCTTCCTATGCCTTTGGGTGTGGATGGGCAGGCTGATTTGTGGACCGTACACACCTTTTTGTGTTGCTTGTTGGTTTGTGACAGGGACTTGCTATGTAGTCCAGGCCGCGCTTTGAACTCCAGGAGCGTTAGGATTACAGTCATCTTCCTGCCCTCTTGTCCTTGACCTTTTTTTTTGTGGGCTCCTCTAACAACAGCCCCAGGGCCTAGGCGAGAGAACGGGCAGTCCCGTGTAGAGTCTGGTTTTCTCTGCTGTTGGGGCATCCCCACCCTTGGGATGGGTGTGCTATAATCTGCTTCTGTCTCTCGTAGCCATCTTCAGTTGCAAAGCACTTTGTGGCCCTGTCTACGAACACGGTGAGTGCCAGAGTGGCATCCGGCATGCCCTTGTGGAAAGCCCAATTCCTGAGTGAGGGTGCATCATGGCTGGGTTGCTGGCATAGACTCCTCACTGAGAGCCCCCTGGCCTTCCTACTGTCTCCATGGAGTCAGCATAGTCATGTCCGCACCATCTCCCAGGCCTGACTGATACCCATGAGCCGCCCTTGGCACCCTGGCACACGCCTCTCCCCACATGGGATGGCAGACTAGATCTTGCCTTTCACTAAAGCTGTTAGGTCTGGTAAATGGATGTGCTTTTCCATTGTTTGAAGATCGTTTTAAGTTTTATTTTGTGTGTATGAGAGTTTTGCCTGCATATCTGTGCTACATGCATGCCCGGCGCGCACAGAGGTCAGGAAAAGGCATCAGCTCTCTGGAACTGAAGTTCGGGATGGTTGTTAACTACGCTGCTGGGAATTGAACCTGAGCCCTCTACAAGACAAGTGCTCTTAACCACTGAGCCATCTCTCCAGCCCTGGATTTAACCCCCCCCCTTCCTTTTTTAAATGAACTTTTTTATTGTTTTGCAATGTGTGTGTGTGTACAGGATATGCATGTGTGGTCATATATGTTACAGTGGAGAGCATAGGACGACTTTGTGGTCTGTCCTGTCTCCTTTGTGTGGGTTCTTGGGGCCCAACTCAGATCTCCAGGCTTCTATAGGAAGTGCCTTTACCATAAGGCATCTTGCCTGGATGTGAACTTTTTTTGACAGGGCTTGGCTGTGTAGCCCTGGCTGCCCTGGATGGCCTCAAACTCACAGAACTCCATCTATCTACCTCTGCTTCTGGAGAGCTGAGATTAAGGCATTTGCTACATTGCCTGGCATACCTTTTTTTTTTAAGATTTATTATTTTGTATGCAGTGTTTTGCTTTCAGGCCAGAAGAGGGCACCAGATCTCATTACGGATGGTTGTGAGCCACATGTGGTTGCTGGGAATTGAACTCAGGACCTCTGGAAGAGCAGCCGCTGAGCCAAATCTCTAGCCCCAGTGGCTTTTTATATATATATATATATATATATATATATATGATTCATTTTGCGTTTAATGATGTGGGTGTGTTGGGTATGCTGAGGGGGGCGTGGATGTGTGCGTGCATTGAGGGAAGGGTGCCCTCACAGAGGACTTTGGGTCCCCTGAAACAGGAGGTACAGCTGGTAGTGAGCTGCCTGATGTCTGTTAGGAGCCAGGCTTGGGTGTAGTGCTGGAGCAGTGTGTGCTCCTGACAGCTGCATCGTGTCTCCAGCCACCCCCAGATGTGGCCCCCTGTTCTGGTTAAGTGTCACGTGAGGTGGCACTAATGGGATCCGCTCATGTCTGCCAGCTCTCAGCTGGCCTGGCCTTGAGCCTGCTTGCGGTGGGGACACCAGCATGGCTCTAGCCTTGGGCTCTTCCGACCACCCTTTGCCACCCCCCTTCCCATGTCCACCTCCACTGCTGCCGAGAGGGTAGGGGCCAGCCCGGTGTCTCCTTGTCTGACTGCAGCCGGCAGAGATGTCAGTGGCCATCTCAAAGAATAGGTACGGGGCGGCTGGCTCTGCCTGCCTGAGGGCCTAGACACCCGAGAGCAAGGCTGGTCTCCTCTGGGAGCCCCCAGGTGGCATCACCTTCGAAGGGGGAAGGCTGGGTAGTGGTCTAGGCTTTGTTGCCTAGCCTGGGGACGGACCTCAGAGTTTGAGTTCCAGAGTTGAGAGCGGGGTGGGGGGGGGGGCATGGGATGGCTCTCTGGTGTCTCTGGTTCATAGCCACCAAGAGGAGGTGCTCTAGGCACAGGGCCCCCCGGTGTGATGGGAGACTGTGAGCTGGCTTGGTGTGCATTTCTGAGGGAGCAATCCTGGGTGTCGCCCTCGACTCAGAGCCTGCTTTACCCCGCCCGTCACGGGCTTGGGAAGAAGGCGTCACCTCCTAGGGCCCCTGTTCTTGTCTCTAACAGACGTTCCCTTCCTCCCTTTGTACTTTGCAGACCAAAGTGAAGGAGTTCGGAATTGACCCTCAAAACATGTTCGAGTTCTGGGATGTAAGTAAGGCACTTCCTGTGCTGTGTGCTTGGCGTGTCCTTAGCCGAGTCATGGCCCTTGAGCCGACAGGAGGGGCCTGTGAAGTCAGGTCAGCGTTTATTGAGCACTTGCTGCATGTCTGTCTTACTTTGGGAAGGGAAGAGGGGGCCCTCCGGGAGGCTCGGTCTGTGGGAGAGCTCCCGGCTTACCAGGAGAATCGGTACTGCCCTGGGTGCCTTCCAGCAGCACCCACTGGGAGGTAACCAGAGCCACCCCTGCCCTCTCAGTTAGCTGAGGTGAGTTATTCTCAGGCATGACCTTTCTCTGGTCAGCAGCGCAGTCCATAAAGGCCAGAGGGCAGGGTGAGGCAGGCCTTGGGACCTGGTAGTCTGGGAAGAGACCCACAGGAGATTGCGGGAGCAGCTGGGGTGGCTGGCAGGGAGCAGGCTGTAGACCTGGAGTCTGGGCAGGCTAGGCCAGGCAGCTTGCACAGCAAACCCCCACTTCAGATGGTAGAGCCACATGCGGGCACCCGTGGACTCACCAGGAGGCAGACTTGACTAGGGACTTACTGGCCTTGCCGCCTGCCTCAGCACAGTTGTGCTGTGGGGGAGCGCTGTGAAGGCTAGAATGCAGGGCTCCTGTGGGTGTGATGTATGTGGGTGCTGTGGGTGCTGTGGCCAGGCAGAGGTACACTCTCTAACAAATGTCTGGGGTCCCCCTTGAGCATTTCCCACAAACCACCGGACTGGAGGCACTTTTCTTGGTGGTTATCATTGGCCAATGAGCAACCTTGCTTAGAAAGCTCTAAAACGTCCGTCTTTAAGTCAAACACATAAAGAAAAAGGTTGTTTTTAGCGCCTAGGATCTGCACCAACCAAACCAGCACTCTCCTCCTGAGCTGCACCCATCCTCCTTTAAAGAATTTTTGAGAGACAGGCTTGACCCATAGCTCACTATGTAGCTCAGGCTGGCCTTGAACTTGCGAGCCTCTTGCCTTGGCCTCCCAAGTGCTTAGATTCCAGGCATGTGCAGCCACAGTTGGCCTAAGAGCTTTTTCCCACCCATCTCTAGGGGAGAATAAAGCTCCATGCCCCAAGCCATCCACTGTGTATGAGTTGACTTGTGTCTAGATGGGACCAGTTGTGTCTAGATGGGACCAGTTGTCCTTGGCACACATCCTGTGGTTCAGATGAGGAACCCCTCCCTGTTGGGAAATTGTGGCTTCTAACGAATATTGTCTGCCCAGTAAAAGAGGAGGAGCCTTTCCCCTTCCTCCTTAGGCTGTGGCACCTGAGCAGATGGTGGCAGCCGAGGGGTGGGTGTCCCATGCTTGTCATAGAGCCCCACACAGTTGGGTGCCCCATGTACGGAAAATTGATAGACTGTGACAAGGTTGAGTCTTGCAGGCCAGGACACAGAGTGACAGTTAGGTGCGGGGGACAGGATTCCAGGGCTGGCGGTGCCGGCCCTGGAGGCCTGGTGGATGGGGTCACACATACACAACCCCCAACAGCATGAGAAGGGATGTGGGTGGACAGTGCTGATGGAGATGATGTCTGAGGGCCCAGCAGCAGGGATGTGTGAAGATTCTGGAGTCAGTCTCTCAGGTGAGATAAAGAGACAGCGGGTCAGGTAGAGGAGTACAGCACCGCCCGCAAGGCCATTCCTCAAGTCGGGTCCAGTGCAGGTGTGTGTGGGGTCTGATTTGACGCTGCCGGGTATGGCTGACATCTGGACCCAGCAGAGGTAAGCTAGTGAGCTGTGGAGTGTCTCTGGGTCCCAGCTTGAGTCCCACTTCAGAGAACTGATTTTGACATCTGAGACTTGACCATTGCAAGCTCTCTCTCTTCAGGTATGTGTGATGGAGGCCATGGTGTGTGTTGTCATGGTAGGGGTCTCGGGGGCCAGAATCCGGTCTGAAAGGGAATTGAGGACAGGTAGAGGTGTGATTAAAGGACATGCCAGGACAACGAAAAGTAAGTGCGGCTATGACATCATCTAGGTATGGTGGCACATCTCTGTAATCCCAAGAGGCTGAGATAGGAGGATCACAAGTTCAAGGCCAGCCTGGGCTGTATATTGAGTTCTGGGCCAGTGTGAGCTATGTAGTGAGAACTTGTTTGTAAACACCAACAAAACGGTTCTAACAGTTAAGGTCTGAAGTCAAGGTCATGTGACCTTGGCCCAGCCGTGCAGGAAGAGGGCTAGATGGTCTCAGATGTGCACAGGTTCTGGTACCTTCTGAAAATTGAGGATCAAATGGTAGTTAGCTGGGGGCTCAGCATCCTGGCCAGCCTTTCTGAGGTCGTCAGGGGTGGTGGGCAGGGTTGTGAGGAGAATAGGAATGGACAGATGGTAAAGGCTGAGGCTTGGGTCAGGTGGCCAGGTTAAACACAAGCAGGGACACTGAGGACTGTAGGAGGAAGTTTTCCCGTCCAAATAATGGACTCAGATTTAATATTAATTATAAATGCTCAGCTGATAGCTCAGGCTTGTTTCTACCTAACTCCATTCTATGTATGTGCTGCCCTGAGGCTTGGGGCTTTTTACCTCTATCCCTTTTTTTTTTTTTTGTGTGTGTGTGTGTGTGTGTGTGTGTCTGCATCTGGCTGGCAATTCCTCTGACTCCGCCCTTCTTCCTCCCACCATCCTCCTAATCTGCCTCTCGTGTCCAATCTCTTCCTGCCCTGCTATTGGCCAGTCGGCTTCTTTATTAAACCAATCACAGTGACACATATTCACACAGTATAAAAGAATATTCCACAGCTGTGTCTTTGGGGAGCAGCTTGAGAGACTCGTGAAAGGTAAAGGTTGGGAGATCAGCTTCTTCAGAAAGAATATGCTAGCTAGGGCCTGAGTTGAACGCCGTCAGTAGGAAACTCCGAGACTGACAGGTAACATCTGCTCAGGTACGTGCTGCAGTCTATTAGATGTGGTCTTGTGGCTAAGGACTCAGGAGCCGGAATTGGACAAAAGTGTGATTGGTTTTCCACTGGAGCTGGAGCAGCCGGGCTAGGCACGTGTAGGTAGAACTGGCTTGATCTAGTATGGTCATTGGAAATAAAGGTACACGGGTGGCAGGCAGAGCTCCTCAGCGGGGTCCAGGCTCTTGGTTCAGCCCACAGCGTCACAGGAAATGGTGAAAGCATAGGTACGGAAGTGCTGTGATTGAAACCAAGCCTGACTGTGTGATTAGGTGACATTGGAAGGTTCTGGTAGTGCACAGGTAGGTGGTCTAAGGTCTCCTTAATCCATCCAGAAAGCACTGAAGTCAGGCCCTCCCAGGTGTGTGCAGTAAGACTGGCAGAGGGGTTGCTAAGAGACAGATTTGCACGCCCTGGTCTCCCAGGTAAGGTAGGGAAGAGGCTGCTGAGGTGAGGCCCAGGCTGGAATCCCAAGTCTGCCAGCCTTGGCCAAGCACAGTGGGAGTTTATCGGGTAAGTCAGTCTGCGGAACCAGCAGAGGTGGCCTGATGTATGACACTGATTTTAGTCATTAAATCCTTCCTCGGGTCAGGCACATCGAGCGAGCAAAGTAGGCAGAGGCAGTCTGTCAAGGTGAGGCCTCAGAGGCAAAGAATTGGATGTTTGAGATGCTGTCTAAGGAAACGGAGTAAGACAAGGTGGGTAAAGGCATGTCTGAGACCTAAGGAGGTGTGTCATGAGCGGGTGTGGTCACGCTCAGTAAGAGAAACTTCACTCGGTAAGGTTGAGTCCAGGCGCACTGCTGTGGAAGCCCGTTTCTTGGGTAAGGCCTGTGGAGTCTTTGCCTTGAATCCTTGGGTCTGCCTGTTTGATGAGAGTGACATTAGCTTGTGGGTAGAGAGGGTTTGTTGGTGAGGATGTATGAAGGCCTAGGGTCATAAAACTGGCTGTGTCGCTGAGACCTAAGAAGTCATAAACCCGGGGAAGAAAATGCATTTGGTTGGTTAGGTAGAGCTGACTTGTCAGATATGGATGGAGTGTGAGGATGAGGGTCAGGTAAGTGGACTCATTCATCAGGAATTCTGTGAGGATTCAGGATCAGGTAGACAGATGTGAGGCAAGAACCCAGGATCGGAAGTGGCCAGTTGGGCACGGTCTGGACATCCCAGAATCTCATTAAGATAAGTAGAGCTAGCCAGCCCATCCGGTATGTAGTTCATTGAGTGGAGGTATGTTTTGCTGGCCTTCCAGGTATGGTCTGAAGACCCATGGTCAACATCCTGATAGATAGCAATGACTCACCAAGAAGCCAGGTATAGAGCTGGTTTTCTAGAACTTATTCTGAAGAACAGGCTGGTCTCAAACTCAGATCTGTCAGCCTTTGCCTCCTGAGTGCTGGGATTAAAGGCATGCACCACCACCATACCTGACATGTCAGATCCGGGTTTGGAAGTATGAGCATTAAAGATGAATGCAGGTAGGTGGCCCTGGTTTACTAGTGTGTTCTGGAGAGCCAGGATCAGAGGCAGTCGGTCTGCCAGGTGTTAGGAATGAGAAGTTAAACACCGGCAGGTAGAGTTTGCCCTTTCCAAAACTGGATTCACTGAAAGGTAGGAGTTCATCTGGGTCTTTGTGGTGAAGCCTGGAGAAGCATGGTCAAGGCTCGGAGTAGAGGCCATGCAGGTAAGAAGCCAGGGCCAGACTCAGGTAGAGATGACCTGCCAGATGTACTCTGGAGAGGCAGGCTCAAATACTGGTCGCTAGAGGTCCAGCACCGGAGAGCCAGGGTAAATCTAAGAGGAAGGAAATTTGGGGTTGGACAGATGGCACAGAAGTTAAGGTGCTGGCTGCTCTTCCAGAGGAGTTCAATTCCCATCAACCACTTGGTGGCTCACAACCATCTAATGAGATTTGGTGCCCTCTTCTGGAATGCTGGCATACATGCATATATAATAAATAAATCTTTGGGTGGCTGGGTCCCCTAAGTGCATCCTGAGGAGCCATTATGGAACACAGGTGGGCAGGTTGTCCCAGCATCGCCTGCATCAGAGCTGGTCAGAGCTGGTTTTGAGAGGTTGGATGTGGGTAAGTAGGACTTCACAGAGGATTCAGTTTGAAACTGAGTCTACTAGGCAATATCTGAGAGTCCGTGTCTCGCCTGACAGGGCCTGGGCGCTGGTCGCTATTGCAAAGCTCTTCCTAACGGGGATCCTTCCAGATGGTCATTTTGTCTTAGCCAGAGGGGCCGTGACCGTGTTTCTCATGCTTCCCTCCACCTGTGTGAACTCCCTGTGTCTGCCCTCCTCAGCCCCCAGTCCATCCTCACTCTCCGACTGCAGCTCTCCAGTCTCGTCACTCAGCTCCGTCCCCGTCCCCCGCCCTCCCTCCCCCACCTGTGCTTCCGGCCTGTCTCCTCAGGCTTCCTGGAGACATTTACACGCAAACACCACAAGGCGTCTAATGCACGTATGGTCTGGCACCTCTCCTCTCCTGTGCAGCTAATGGGGTTCTAGTCCTGTGTCAGCCTGAGAGACTTGAGAGAGGAAGTTGCTCCTGTCATTTCCTGTGAGTTAGTTCTCTCGTGAATGGCTGCTCCTGCCACAAGAATATGCTACTCTGGAATGCTTCCCTGGCTGCCAGGTGCTTGTTTGTTCTTCAGATCGGACTCCGTTTAAAATTGGTCTCGGCGCCATACTAAGGTCTTTCCAGGGTGGACGAGGGTAGGAGGCTCTGCTTTTCCGTGTCAGAGGAGGCAGGGTAAGCATAGCTGGCTCTTTTGGTGCCTGAGGAGACAGCATGGGTGCAGGTCTGGGGCTCTGAGCCTGTCCGTGTGTGAGGAGACATGGTAGGTGTGAGTATTAGTTGCTGTGTTCAATCTGGACCAAGGGTACAGGTGGGACCCAGTCTCTGGGTGCTGGTGATGAAGAAGACATGGTAGGTGCAGGGTGGATAAATCAGTGTCTGAGAGGTGGGGAGTGTAGGTATGAGGTTTTGGGTCTGTCGGTGGCCGAGGAGACAGCGTAAGCGTGAGAATGGAGCCCTGGGTCTGTCAGTGCCCTAGGAGACAGTTAGATACAGGTATGAATTAGTGGTCCTGTCCTTGATCAAGGAGGCAGGGTGGGTACAGGTCTGAATGAGGCTCTGTGTCTGTCAGTGTCTGAGGAGACAGGGTAAGTGCCAGGTATGAGGTTCTGGTCTACCAGTTTCTGAGGAGACAGGGCAGGCGCAGGTATGAGGTTCTGGGCCTGTCAATGGCTGAGGAGGCAGGGCAGGCGCAGGTATGACTTTCTGGTCTACCAATTTTTAAGAAGATAGGGCCCAGGTGTCTCAGTGTCTGAACAGGTAAGTTGAGCATAGGTGTGAGTACTTGGTCTGCCAGTATCGGAGGAGATGAGGCATGGCCCAGGTATGAGCCTCTAACTCCATCCGTGCCTGAGGCAGTGAGGTAGGCCCAGGTGTGAGGGCCTGGTCTGCCAGCACCTGAGGAGATTGGGTTCGGAACAGGTATGCATGCCACCATCCAAGGTTTAGCACAGACCGGGACCCTTCTTGTCAGCACCTGGAGAGAAGGGACTGGCGCAGGTCATGATGAGGTGGGTTAAGCACAGACACGAGGCCCTGGTTCTGCCGACACTGAGGAGGCGAAGGCTGGCACAGGTGTGGTACTGTCAATGCTGAGGAGACCAGAGCTGACAAATTTGAGGCCTTGGGTCTGCCAGGAAGACAAGGCCAGCTGCGGTAACCACTTGCCTTTGGTTGACTTGACATGACCCTCGTGCAGCCTTCCTTGCTGGCCAGCACGGAGAGTCTGCTGTCTGACTAGGCAGAGTAGGGTTGGGTCCAGCCCTGTGGCAGATTGGCTTTCCGGGCACAGGTGTGGCAGGAGGGAGGGGGGTAGGGTGTGCCTGCCCTGCTTCAGTGGCCTTTCCTTCCTTCTCTCCTAGTGGGTGGGCGGCCGCTACTCGCTGTGGTCCGCCATTGGACTTTCCATCGCCCTGCACGTGGGTGAGTATGTTCGTGAGCCACCACAGGAGGCAGTGAGCGGCTGCGGCTGCATCCCCGAGTGCCTCGCTTGTCCCACGGGCTTCCAGCCTCGCTGCCCCTGCCTAGAAACATTGGTTCTTTTAGTTCTGGGAGAACGAACCGAGGGTTGGTTACTTTTGTGCTTGGGGCCAGCTCTGAAGAGCAAGGGCTTTCTGCACCCCCTCCTCCTCCCAGGTCCTGACTTCTGGCTCCACATCCAACATTTCCTAGTTGCTGAAGAACACCCCAAACAACTGAGCAACTGTCAGGAGGGGGGGTTGGAGGGGGGTGACACGTCTGTTGATGAAGAGGGGGCTGGGGGGGCTGGAGGGGGACAACACGATTGTTGATGCTACTTTTGTGTCTCAGGTTTTGACAACTTCGAACAGCTGCTCTCCGGGGCTCACTGGATGGTGAGTGCTGAGTGGCCTGAGACATGCACGGGTCCTGTTTCCTTCTTCCTCTCCTCACTTCCTCTCCTCTCCCTGACAGCTGCTCAGCCCCCACCCACCTTGTTCTTTCAGGACCAGCACTTCCGCAAGACACCCCTGGAGAAGAACGCCCCCGTCCTGCTGGCTCTACTGGGGATCTGGTATATCAACTTCTTCGGGTGTGAGACCCATGCCATGCTGCCCTATGACCAGTATATGCACCGTTTTGCTGCCTACTTCCAGCAGGTACCAGCTGCCAGGCCATGCTTGGAAGGAGTAGTGGCAGGTTCCAGTGCCTCCCTTGCCCTTGAATACGGCTGCGGCACATCTTGGTAACCAAGGCCTGCTCCATCCTTGTTATCAGCTGAATTTCACGACTGTGAGAGGTGCCCTGCCCACACTCCTCCCGGATAGGTTGTGGGCATGTGTCTTCCTCTTTGGCTCTTATGTGTTGCTGTTGTAGGTGATGGTGTGAGCTAGGACCCCTGTGACCTATACTGTGGCCCATCTTGGGTTCTTTGTTCACCTGCAATACGTTCAGTGACCAGAAATTTGCAACCAACCTCTGCATTTGTAAGCATGTGCAGCAAAACTTAGCAATCTTTTGGACCTCTGACCCTGTTATTTGGTCTGGGCACGCCTACCTGCTCACAGCCTTCTCCCCACCCCATCCCCGTTTTGTGTGTGTGTGTGTGTGTGTATTTGTATGTATCTGTTAGTGACACCTGTGTGCATTGTGCCCGTGGGGGTCAGAAGAGGTTGATGGGATCCCTTGCAGCTAGAGTTAGAGGTGGTTGTGAGCTAACTGATGTGGCTGCTGGGGATTGGAATTGGCTTCTCTGGAAGAGCAGGAAGCACTCTGTAACTATGAAGCCGCCTCCCATCTCCCTTCTTAAAGTGAACAAGGTTTGAACCTCAAATTGCATGGTTTTGAAGGTTTGCTGGATCAAGAGAGCGGTTACCACAGGCCACCTAATGAAGAACTTATCTTGTTTATAAGGAGACCCTCCCCCTGCTTCCAGGTCCATCGTCTCCTGGTCATGGCCCTCATGGCATGGTAGTCTAAGCCAGGAAGCTCAGGAGCCTGGGGACCCACTTTACAGGAGTCCCACATGAAGCTGAGGCACCCCAGGAAGGCTCCAGGCAGTTTAGACAAGGGGAATGCTGTAGAAGGGATTGAGTTTCTGTCCTCCTTCCAGGGTGACATGGAGTCCAATGGCAAGTATATCACCAGGTCCGGTGCCCGGGTGGACCACCAGACAGGCCCCATTGTGTGGGGGGAGCCGGGGACCAACGGCCAACATGCATTCTACCAGCTAATCCACCAAGGTAGAGCCCATCTGTCCTGGGCAAGGGGGTGTGGTACCTGGCAGGATGGGGCTGGGACAGCAGGGACCTTGCTCTCGGGGCAATGCCTTCCGTAGGCTGCTTGGGGTTGTGTGGATGACCACTGTGCCCTTAACAGGCACCAAGATGATACCCTGTGATTTCCTCATCCCCGTCCAGACCCAGCACCCGATACGGAAAGGTCTGCATCACAAGGTAAGAAGCCTGTCTGGTCCCTCCCCGACCTGCAGCTCAGCCCTGCGCAGCCATTAGCTCCATTCCCCTCGCTGCCATGGCAGGTGACCGACCACACATTCACTGTTGTCTCAGTCCCCAGAGTCAGGAGCCTGCAGCAGTCAGAGCTGGGGTCAGCCTCTGTTAGCTCCATCTCTGCTACTCTGAGGGTGGACTCTTAAGAAAGAGCACAGCCCTGGGGGAAGAAAGGGTTGCTTCAGCTTGCAGGCCACATCCGTGATTGAAGGGAGCCAGGGCAAGAGCTAGAAGCAGAAGCCACGGTGGATGCTGTTTGCTGGCCCTGCATCAAGCTTAGCTGGTTTTCTTATACAGTGCAGGCCACCTGCTTAGGGATGGCGCTGCCCACAGTGGGCGTGCCTTCCTGCACCATGACAAAGCCCCGCCCAGACCAATCTAAGCTGGACAGCCTCTCAATTGTCAACTTGACCATCAAAGGCCAGATTCCAGGGGGATAGCTGTTCATTCAGGCTTCTGGCCGAACCTGCTTCCTGTGGAAGGCCGACAGTCTGGTTCTTTACTGGCAGCTGAGCGTCTTTGTGTCTGTCATTTTGCAGCAGGGTTGACCTTAAATTTGGTAGTCCTCTTGCCTCAGCCTCCTGAGTCCTGCGTGTAGGGATTACAGTTATGTGTCAGCATAGCCCAGGCTATATGTCTGTGATACAGCACCGTTGACTTGATCCATGGTGGGGGCGGGGCCTGTTTCTTTGAGGTTGGCCTCCTCTGTGTAGCCCAGGCTGGCTCACAGATCTGCCTGCCTCTGCGTAACAATTAAAGCGGTGTGCCCCTCTGCCTGGCTCCTCTCTCTCTCTTGAGGACAGCCGTTAGCATGACACCTTGGCAAGTGCTGAGTATCCTGTTAGGAAGCGTGGCGAGGTGGCACGCATCTGTGGTCACAGCTGTTCAGGAGGATCTGCCAGTTCAGGGCGGCCTAAGTGAGTGAGCAGAAACCTGTCTCAGATTTTAAGGATTGGCACTTGGGTTCCAGCCCCAACTAATACCACCCTTTAAAAAAAAAGAAAGAAAAGATTAGTTAGCATCGTCGCCTGCCGTCTCGTGTCATGAGATGTGCCCTCTTTCCTCACTCCGCCTGAGCTATGCAGTGAGTGGACCATGCTGGAACTAACCCCACCTGGGAAATGCTCAGCAGGTTCTGGCGGTGCTTGCTACTGCAACAACTGTGTGTGTCTCTTGTCAGATCCTCCTGGCCAACTTCTTGGCCCAGACAGAGGCCCTGATGAAGGGGAAGACGACGGATGAGGCTAAGAGGGAGCTCCTGGCTTCAGGAAAGGGCCCCGAGGACCTGGAGAAACTCTTGCCGCACAAGGTCAGCCTTCCTCAGCAACTTCAGCTTTAGGGTGATGTACAGGAGCTAGTATAAATGTGCCAGCCTCTGGGGCAGAGTGTCTTTCCTCTCCAAAAGCTTGGGGACCAGTCTCTCTGTCGCCCCCCCCCCAATACCATATATGCTGGCAATACTCTTTCTTTCTCCTGGCTTGCTGCAGGTCTTTGAAGGAAATCGCCCAACCAACTCTATTCTGTTCACCAAGCTCACACCATTCATTCTGGGAGCCTTGATTGGTGAGTGGGGAGATGAAGGAACTGGCAGGCTTGGGATCAGTTAGATGGAGAAGGGACAGAGGGACGGAGGACGGAAGGACCTAATGGACACCATCTGCTCCTTCCTCTGCAGCCATGTATGAACACAAGATCTTCGTTCAAGGCATCATCTGGGACATCAACAGCTTCGACCAGTGGGGGTGAGCTGCTGAGGAAGGGCCTGGTGTGCCTTTGGGTTGGCTCTGGGACTCCATTCACTTCTCCTCTTCCACCCCTCCCTGGCAGAGTGGAGCTGGGGAAGCAGCTGGCCAAGAAAATCGAGCCTGAGCTGGAGGGCAGTTCCGCCGTGACCTCCCACGATTCCTCCACTAACGGACTGATTGGCTTCATCAAGCAGCAGCGGGACATCAAAATGGAATAAAGTCAGCCACGGCGCCACCGACTGCTCCTTGTCCCTCTCCATCGTATGCACTGCATGGTCCTGCCCCTCCCTGCCCCGAGCACACCTCCGCTCACGGGCTTGGACTACAAGGCTTTGGAGAGGACCACCGTCCACCCGCTCTGCGTGCACCCTCTCCGTTGAAGCAGGCTCAAGTGCTTCGATGCATCTATTCATTCTGACCCGTATTCACATCCCTGTTAGAATAAAGATGCCATGGAGGTGGCGTGGGCTCAGCCTCTTAGTCTCTGGTGGTGCTTTTTCTTTCCGCTGTGGGTGACCTTGCTTATGCCCCGGTTGGCTCTTGACTCGGTGAGCAGATCCACAGCACAGGCTCGTTCTTAAGTGGGGACAGGGATCTACCATGCAAGTCTCATATTCTACTTTCTCACCCTGGGGACATGGAAAAACTGTACTCTCTCCGGCTAGGTTTTTGTGATGTCAAAACCTAGGGATGAGCTCTTTAAATGGTATATATTCATTTATTTGTGTGTGTGTGTGTGTGTGTGTGGGTCAGAGGACAGGTTCTCAGATACTGACTTCTGCCATGTTGGTTCTGGAGATCTAACTTAGGTTGGCTTGTCACCAAGTACTAAGGACCATCTCACCAGACCCAACTTTTTATTTTAAACATGTGTATGTGTGAATGTGTACATGTGCATGCTGCAGATCCCCCTGAAAATGTGATTACAGTTTGTTGGTTGTGAGCTGCTAAAATTGGGTATTAACTGAACTAGGGCTTCTGCAAGAGTGTCAAGTACCGCCCCCCCCCATGGGTTTCTCTGTAGCTTTGGAGGCTGGCCTCGAACTCACAGAGGTCTGCCTACCTTTGCATCCCGAGTGCTGGGATTAAAGTGTGTGCCACCACTGCCCAGCTGCAGCAAGTGTTCTTGACTTGTTGAGCCATCAAGACAGTTTTAGCTCGCTCGGCGTAATTTGTCACCTTAGACATCCACTCATGTCTTTGGTATGAGACAGTCAAATCATGTTAATTGTGGGCCAGTGCATAAAGACACCAAACACATAAGCCACCTGAATTCAATCTATGAGACCCTAAAGTTGTCCTCTGGCCTCCACATGTCCTGGCATGCACCCTTACCCCGAACCCAACTCACACCCAATAATGAAGTGTAAACGGTGCCACAACTGACTGGCTTTTGCTAGAGAGAAAGTTCCAGGTTTCTCTGGCTACACAGTGGAAAACTGTCTCTCACACACACAAAAGGATAGGTTGTAGCTTGGGATCAGTATTCATCCTATGCATGATTTGTGATGAGATTCTGGAGGCGGGTTTACAAGGTTTGGATTTAAATTTCCCCAAGGTCTCCAGCAGGTGGTGCTATTGGAAAGTGGTAGGAAGCAGGAGGGGGCTTAGAAGAAAAACAATGTGAATGGGAGAGGGGTGACTTTGAGGTGAATGCTTTGCTGCTGCTTTTTCTCTGCATCCTGGCTGCCGCGTTGGTGGACATGAACAATCTCTCTGGACATTCTCACACTGCCATGGTGAGAATTCTCAAAGCACCGATGTGCATTTTGGCTTATACTTTCTGGTCACTGTCCATCATTGTGGGAAATCAAATCCTAGGAGTTAGAGGGAGTGCTTGCTGGCTTGCTCCATCCAGCAATGGGCTGGGCCCCCCCTGCATCAGTTAGTAAGCAAGGCAGTCACTCACAGATAATACAAACCACCTTGATCCATGCAATCCCTGGGTTGAGGCTTCTCAGAAAGCTCTGCGATATGGCCTGAAAACTATTAGCCAAAAAAAATTTTTTTTTTTTTTAGTTTTTTTGAGACAAGGTATCTCTGTGTAGCTAGCATTGGAGCCTGTCCTAGAACTTGATCTGTAGAACAGACTGGCCTTGAACTCAATAGAGATCCACCTGCCTCTCCTTCCACAGTGCTGGGAGAAAAGGTGTGTGCCAGCACCAGGCCTAAAAGAAATCTTCACTGGCAAAATAAACACTGGGCTGGCAAAACCAAAGTTTAGTCTGGTATGTATTTTTAAAATACCCCTTGATAATCTGAGATTGCTTGGTGGTTTAGAGCATATACTGCTCTTGCAGAAGACAGTTTCTCTTCTAGTTACCACAGGGGACCTAATGCCTTCAGGCACTTACACTCACATGCACAGACATAGCTACACATACACACACACACACACATTCTTAAAACCACGTAACACACACACACTACCTTGAGAAATACTAGCTGAGATAAAACATCTACCACGCCATCCAAATTTGCAGATTCAGCCATGTTATTAGAGAGATGAACCAAGACTGGACAGGGCTGCTGGTTTGTCCTCCACTCAGGTGCGGGATCCTAGAATAACGCTTTCCCGGCATTGTAGAAGTCTTAGGTAGCGTGTATTTACAGCCTCCTTTGCTTGCCTGTGTATGGGTGGAAGAGACAAGGTCACTTCGGGTGTCATTCCTCTGACGGTGTCAATCCTTAGTATTTCTTAAGATGGCCTAACTAGCCTGAAAGGTGCCGATTAGGCTAGCCTCAGATATCCACATACCTATCTCTGTCCCTGGTACTGGGATTATAAACTACCACCAGCAGGTCTTTCGTTTGTTTTCTACACCGTTTCTGGGGACTTATGCTGACACACTCCACCTACCGAGCTCTCTCTCCAGTCCCACCTTGAGGGCGGTCTTTCGTTCTTTGCTGCAGTTTCAGGCAATGAAACAGCATCCACCAAACTCAACAAACCCACATGGAGTCTACTGGGAAAGGGAGCAAAGGGATGGGTGGGTGTTAACCCATCAGGAAGAGAAATGGAAAGAGAGAGGCAGGAGGCGCTTGCTTATAAAGGGAGCGGAATCGGTTTAGAACGAGGCTCAGCAGTGGGGGCCGTTGAAACTGGGGTCATGGAGCCAGTTCTGCATGGCCCCAACTCCACATGGTTTCTGCATGCAGTCTTAGGCAGCCACCTAACGAATGCACGACAAACCATGCAGCATTTGATCTGTCAATAAAGAGCAATCACCCATCAAAGATGGATCCCGGGGCAAGGGAAAGTAGCCCTAAGAAGAGTGATCCCAAGGCAGGGAAAGGACCCAAGGATTAGAGGCCCCGCAACCAGGAAAGATTCCCTAAGGAGAAGGCCCAGGAAACAGACGGCTGGCATAGCGACAGGAAGGTGCTGATGAGAAAGAAACCACTGTGGTCAGGTTGCCCAGGCCCCAGAGAGAGGAAGAAGCCGGGATAACAGTAGTTTCATTTTAAAAATTTTAATTTTAAGCCGGGCAGTGGTGGCATATACCTTTAATCCCAACACTCCGGAGGCAGAGGCAGGCAGATCTCTGTGAGTTCGAGGACAGCCTGGTCTACAAGAGCTACTTCCAGGTCAGGATCCAAAGCCATTAAAAAATTAATTTTAGATTAATCTCAAACCATTACCAAGGCTAGCCTGAATTTCACTATGAACTCCATGTATGTTCCTGCTACCCACGGAAGCCGAAGAGCACCAGATGCCCTCTTCAACTGGAATCACGGGCAGTTGTGAGCCACCTATGTACATGCTCGAATTTTTTTTTTTTTTTTCGGTTTTTCGGTACTGTTTCTCTGTGTAGCCAGGGCTGTCCTGGGACTCACTCTATAGACCAGGCTAGCCTTGAACTCACAGAAATTCCCCTGCCTCTGCCTCCCGAGTGCAGGGATTAAAGGTGTGTGCCGCCACACCCGTTTGCTTGAAATCTTTTTAAGTTCAGTCTTCCATATAGTTTCGTCTTTCAAAATCAAGGACGTCTTGTTCCGTTTCTTGTTGACTGCCCATACCACTTTCTCCTAGGTCCTATCTCGGGACATCCGAAGTAAAACCTGCCAGGGATTGCAAGCCCGCGTCCGTCAGGCAGTGCGGCCCGCCCCTTAGCCAATCGCCAGGGGCCTCCCCGAGTCTGGGCGGGGCCGTCGGAGCGGTCCAGGCGGCGCGCGTGCGCAGCGAGCGCACCCTTTCAGCCACGGGGGCTCGCGCTGTCACGTGGGAGCCTGGTTGTCATGGCGGTCGCCCGGAAGCCGGTGCTGCTGGGACTTCGAGATGCGGCGGTCCCGGGATGCCCCAAGGGGCCGGCCGCCTGGACCGCTAGCAAGCTGGGCGGCATCCCGGTGAGCGTGGCCGCAAAGCCTTGGCGGGGGTCCGTGGGGCGGGGCGGGGTCCCGCGGGAGGGGGCGGAGCGAGGCCCGGGGTCTGAGCACAGGCTCCGCCCTCAGGACGCCCTCCCGGCCGTTGCGGCCCCGGGCCCGCGGTGTGGCAGCTGCGCGCAGCCGCTCGCGCTCGTCGTGCAGGTGTACTGCCCGCTGGAAGGCTCCCCGTTCCACCGGCTCCTCCACGTGTTCGCCTGTGGCCGCCCCGGCTGCGGAGACCGCGGGACGCGCAGGTAGGCGGGCAGGTCCTGCAGCCCGGTAGTAGAGGCTCGTCCCAGGAGGGGCGGGCCGGGCCGGGCCGGGCCGGGCGTCGAGGGTGGGGCCCTCACCACGTGTGTCTTACCCCGAAGCTGGAAGGTGTTCCGCTCCCAGTGCCTGCAAGTGCCAGAGAAAGAGACTCGGGACGCCCAGGTAAAGCGACTCTGATCGGCTGATCGGCACGCAGTGTTTTTCTATAATTGGAAGATCTTTTCCGGCTTCTCGTCTAAGAAAACCTTTGTTGGTCTGTTTTTGAGACACAGTCTCTCCCCTCTGTAGCCCAAGCTGACTTAGCTGCCAGAAACCGGCCGGCCTAAGTCCCTCCCAATTTCTGTGGTTACCGCTGTGCGTCAACGCCCCCTATTTAAGACAGTTGTTGAAAAGATTTGTTTTGGAGGCTGGTTCAGCAGTGAGATCACTTGTTGCTCTTCCAGAGGACCCAGGATTGATTTTCAGCACTCACGAGGCTGCTTGAAATTATCTGTAACTCCAGTTTCTGCTGGCCTCAGTGTCTCTCTCTCTCTCTCTCTCTCTCTCTCACACACACACACACACACACACACACACACACACACGCGCGCGCGCGCGCGCAAAACAGCCATACACACAAAGTAAAAATTAATTTTTTCTGTTTAGTCAAGCTGTCATGAGTCACACCTTTAATCTTAACCACTAAGGAGGCAGAGGCAGGCGGGTCTCTGAATTTGAGAACAGTCTGGTCTTCTTAAACAAAAGCAAAACAAAATTTTTGTTTGTTTACTTGTGTGTGTGCACGCAGGTGTGTGTGTCTTCACCTGTGAGGTCCAGAGGAGGATGTGAGATCTACTGAGCTGGAGCCACAGGCATTTGAGAGCTACCTAACGTATGTGCTGAACTGAGCCATTTGAACAAATGTAGGGAAATGTATATTTTCATGCACATACATGGTTGTGTGTGAAGTAGAAATATACTTTTGATTCTACATAAGTCTTTACTAGCTAAATTGATAGCTTTGGGAGAGGTCTCACAATGACTTCTGGAAGCACATCTCAGAGCCAGCCCATCTGCTGGGTGGCCTCCTGTGATAAGGACACTCAGGTGCACGGATGCCCTTGTCACAGAGCATGGTACAGAGTCTTTGCTCTGCCTGTGTTTTCGGAACAACTCACTTGGGGTTAATTTTCATTCTGGTTTGGAGACGGTGTCTGTATCCATAGCTCAGGCTAACCTGTAAATATATGTCACCCAGGCTGACATCAAACTCATGGCCATCATCAACGCTTAGCCTCCTCAGTGCTGATATGAGCCACCATGTCCAGCCTGCTTTTTGGCGTTGCTTTCTTTTCAAATTTATGGCTCTCTCTTAGATGGACCCAACCAGCTAACAACACTTGAATACATCTAAAATCTTAGCTGCGAAGGAGTCTGGGAAATTTAGTTTAAAGCAATTTCTTTTGTCATTTATTATAAATTAAAACTCGGAGACAAATATTAAAGATAAAAACCTAAGAAAGCCATAAATGGCTTCAAAAACACACCACTACCATGGCTTCCCATCAGGAAAGGCCCCTGCAACCTTCTGGCCCTGCCTCCTCTTCACTGGGGCCTCTCTTTCATGAGTCATCAGTAAGCGCTGTGATGTATTACAAGCAGCTGAATGTGAGCCCCCTCTCGAACCAACACTATTGCAGTGAACATAAGACCACAACATAGACAAAAACCCCCAAACAGTAGTTTTCTTGTTTTAGTCCCTACAATACATGAAGCACAACCTTGTGGACCAAAATGGTTGAAGGAAACTCGATCTGTGTGTGCCACATGCGCAGCTGGGGCCTTTGGAGGTTAGGAGGTGGCATCTTATGCCCTGGAACTGGAGGTAGAGATGGTTATGAGCTTCCCAAACCTGGGTCCTCTGGAAAAGCCACAAATGCTCTTAACCACAAAGCCATCTCTTCTGCTCCAGTTCGTTGTTTGTGTGTTTGTTTTGAGACAGGGTCTCACTCTGGGGCTCAGGCTGGCCTGAAACTCATAGAGCTCCGTCTGCTTATGTATGCCTCAAGAGTGCTTGTATTACGTGGATGCAGTCCCATACTCAGTCTTAAGATGCTTTGAGTGGCTGGAATCCAGGAAGTTGAATTGTAGTGTGCCAGAGGGATGGCGCTGACATGCAGGCTCCCTGGGAAAGGTACAGAGATGGGTGGTGAAGCTGAGGTATATAGAGATGAAGTCATCTACGTGTGATTGCCTGTATTCACTGGCCATTCTTCTAGAAACAGCGTAACGGCCTTGCAGCTGAGAACTGGTGTGAAGGCTCACAGGACTGGGGAAGCGACAGCGAGGAGACACCTCCACCACCACCCGCCTCAGATTTGGGGACTGATTCTAATGGTGTTAGAGCTGTAGACTGGACTGCACAGCTCCAAGCTCTCCACCTGCAGGACACCGCCCCTGCATTTGCTCCCCCTTCCCCTGCAGGGGAAGGGCTGCCGGTCCAGGCGGAAGTGCCACGGTTTCAGTCCTACTACATCTGTGTCGCCGACGAGGATGACTACAGGAACTCTGTGGGGCTCGATCATGCCCTCAACCTTCTGCAGGACTACCAGCAGAGAGAGGGTGTTGACCTGGAGCACCTACTTTCCCTGTGGTGAGAACTTGCTACCAAGGTTGAGAGCCCCAAGCAGGAGGCTCCTGCGGTTGGTTCCTTCCTCTCGGCACCTATGGCGAGTTGTAGAGAGAAAGGATGGGATTGGGCTCTTCTGTTCTGCTCTCCTTGGATGAGGAAAGCATTCTTAGGCCAGGGCTGTCTATATCCACCAACCTGCGTTAACCTGCAGACATGCAGCTAGCTGAGTGCCCTCATGACCTGAACCTTCTTCTGTTTTCACATGGCTTGTTTTAGTTTTTCAAGACAGGGTCTCTCTGTAGCCCTGGTTGTCCTGGAACTCACTCTAGACCAGGTTGGCCTCGATCTCACAGAACTCTGGCTCCAGAACTGCCTCAGACTCTGAGACCATTCCAGACTCTCAGTTCTCATACATGAAATGGCAGGGGTGGTGGGACACCAACCCCCAAAACACATAATTAACAAAGAAAGAGAGAAAACCATTTGCTTCCCTTGCAAATGCTCTAGTTCTCTCTCTGTTGTTTGGTGTTTGTTTTTTTGTTTGTTTGTTTGTTTTTGTTTTTGTTTTGTTTTGGTTTTTTTTCTTCTTCTTCTTCTTCTTCTTCAAGACAGGGTTTCTCTGTGTAACAGTCCTGGCTGTCCTGGAACTCACTCTGTAGATTAGGCTGGCCTCAAACTCAAGAGAGAGCCACCTGCCTTTGCCTCCCAAGTGCTAGGATTAAAGGTGTGTGCCAACACTGCCCGGCGCAAATTTTCTAATTCTTTAGACAGTCTTAATCTCATGTGGTCTCTGCCTCTCTCCTCAGTTCTTCTGGTGATGGGGATGAAAAATATGAGAAGACCAGTATTAAAAGTGGAGATCAAACGTTTTACAAGTTCATGAAGAGAATTGCAGCCTGTCAGGAGCAGATTCTGAGGTAAGGAAGACATGTTTGGTCTCTGTTCTACCTTAGAAGTTACGTGCTGACGAGAACCTCCAGGCCCGGGAACACCAGGACACTACAGTGTAAAATGGGAATGTCGCCTGGTCAGCAACAGTGAGGCACTCTTCTTTAAAACATATTTTTGTTATTTTTAATTGTGTGTGTGTGTGTGTGTGTGTGTGTGTGTGTGTGAGAGAGAGAGAGAGAGAGAGAGAGAGAGACACCTCAGGCGCCATAAACCCAGAAGAGGATGCTGGGAACTGAACTTGAGTCCTTTGTTCTTAACCACTGAGCCCTCTCACCATCTCAGGACACACACTCTCTTTCTTTACATGTACATGTATGTGGTACATACGGAGCCAGAAGAAGGCATGAGATTCCACTGGAACTGGAGTTAGGGATGGTTGTCATGTGGGTGCTGGGAATTGAGCCTGAGTCCTCTGCAAGAGCAAAAAGTGCTCTTAACTACTGAGCCATCTCTCCAGTCCCAGCTTTCAACTTTTTAAAAGAAACAGCTAAAGCGTTTTCTAAAATGTCTTTTGCCCTTTATATTCCTTCCCACTGGCTATGTGTAATAATCCTAGTTCCTTCATGCTTTGTGAGGACTTGGTATTGAAATTTTCTATGCCAGGTAGTTATTGACAACCATGTTGATTCAGCCAATTAAAAATTCTTGAGTCCTAGTGCACACTGTTAGTCCCAGTAATCAGAAGGTAGAGGCAGGCACATCTCTGAGTTCAAGACCAGCCTTGTCTACAGAATAGGTTCTAGGACAGTCAGAGCTATATAGTGAGACCCTGTTTCAACAGGCACACGCTGACAAGCTTTTATGTAGCATAGGCTGGTCTCAAACTTGCTATGTAACCAAGAATTACCTCAAACATGATGCTGGACTGGAAAGATGGTTCTCTGGTAAGAGCACTGCCTGTTCTTGCCAGAGGACCTGGGCTTATTTCCCAGCACCCATATGGTAGATTACAGCTTTTTGTAACTCTAGTCCCGGGGGATTTGACACCTTGTCACTGCAGGCTCCAAGCACACATGTAGTGCACATATATACATGCAGGCAGAACATCTGTACATATAAGAAAATATTTCGGGGGAAAAAATTCTGGTCACCCTGCCTCCACCTCTAGTACGCCGGGTGTGTAGGCGTGCATTACCATGTCCAGTTATACAGGGTTAGCATCATATGTAACAGTTTATACAGTGTCTGAGCTGTGCATATGTTAGGTATGCAGTTTTACCACACACATGCCTTGGTCTGTGTGAAACTGGTGTTTGTCTGTACTCCCTGACCCCACTTTGTGTTGGTGAGCTTCCATTTGGGAATCAAGTCTAAGGTCTCAGGAATGGCAGCCAAGGATGCTACACTGTCCTCGTTCACACTTCCACTTTCCACCTGCTTTCCTACTTTGAATGTTATTGTGTGTGTGTGTGTGTGTGTGTGTGTGTGTGTGTGTGTGTGTGTGTGCGCGCGCGCATGCACAGTTGTTATCAAGCCAGAAGAGGGTGTCAGCTATCCTGGAGCTGGAGTTACAGGCATCTGTCTGATGTGGGTGCTAGGAGCTGAATACTGGTCCTCTGGAAGAGCAGAACACACACTTAACAACTGAGCTGTCTCTCCAACCCTAGAATTAAAGGCTTAAACTGTATATCTGGTTGGGTCTTTCCTGTCTGCTATTAAATGGAGGGTCAAATTCAGGTCCTTAGGTATGGTGGCAAGCGCCTGTACTTGTTGAGCTACCCTGATGGCCCTGACCTTGGACTTCTGATTCTTCTGCCACAGCTTCCTAAATGCTGGTTTTTTGTTTTCTTGTTTGTTCTTTAGATAGGGTTTTTCTGTATAACAGTCCTGGCTGTCCTGGAACTAGCTCTGTAGGCCAGGTTGGTCTCCAATTTGGCTCTGTCTGTTGAGTGCTGGGATTTAAGGTGTGTGCCACCACTGCCCAGCCCATGGATGGTTTTTTAAAAATATGCTTAAGAGGGGGTTATACTGGCTTTAGTCAACCAAGCTATACCAATTTCCTTTGATAGCTGGCTGTTGACAAATATTTGTTTGTTTGTTTGTTTGTTCTGGTCTTTTTAAAAGTTTTTTGTTTTATTTATTTCTGTGCATTGGAACTCCAGGAGTTGGAGTTATAGACAGTAGTGAGCTGCCATGTGGGTGCTTGGTATTGCACCCGGGTCCTTTGGGAGGACAGCCAGTGCTCTTCACCACTGAGCCATCTCTCCAGCCCCTTGATTCTAGCCTTAATCATAATGGGGATGCTCAGGTTCTATTTCACACAGCATGCACATTTGCAGACATGCACCTGTATATATAGTTGAAAAGTAAATATGAAAGTGTGATGAAGCCTTCCTGGAGGCAGAGGTGGAAAGCTTGTGGCGATGACAACGAAGTCACTGGTATTTTTAGATATGATGCTATCAAACCCAGTTGGTGACCTTCTGGAGACATCTTGACAGGCTGTGGGGTAACAAGGCTTCATTCTGGGCCTCAGGATTGTACCAAGCTGCAGAGGCAGGACTGTGGAGGCCATAGAGCTGAGCAATGAGACTGGGCCTGCAGGGACGGAGGGAGAGCACTTCTGGTAGGTCATAGATGCAGCTGGGACTGAGCTGAGTGTGGCTCCTGGGCAGGTGGCCAGACACAGCAAGTAGTCATGTAGCAGGTCATAGTCACCCACATGTCCTCTTTTTGGTCCAGGTGAGGATTTCAAGACCTTCCTCATTTAGGTATGTGTGTTGGGTGACTTTACAGGCCTGGTTTTGCTGGTATGGTTTGAGTGCGTCTGTGTGATTCCTGTCTATGCCAGTAAGCTCCAAGTACAGCTTTTCTGTCTTCAGATATGTGTCGTCTGTCCTCTCAAAATGGAACCAGGGCCCTGCTCAGCCAGAGCCTGATTGATAGAATTTGGAGTGACTTAAGGCAGGGCTCTAAGGCTAGTCTGTGTCTTGTCCAACCTGTCTCATCCCCCTTAAGGCTGAAGATAAGTCATTGTCCTACAGCTCCAGTCACTTTGGACTCGTGGATGCGCAGTCTTTGAGGCTAGGTGGCCTTTCTGGGTGAGAGTGGATATCTGTCAGGGTAAAGTGCACCCTGGACCAAAGTGATCCTCGAGAACCACTCAGTCCGCTAAGCAAGGAGGACTTTTTTCCAGACTTAATTGCAGGAGTGAGGCTGTGTCAACAAGATGCATGTTGCTTAACTAAGAATAATTAGGCAGGTGGGTCTCCTCAGTCCAGTCTGGTGTACATACATAGTGAGCTCAGGCCAGTCTGCATAATGTGACCGCGTCTCAAATAAAACAAAATAGTATATATGGAAAGCAGGAAAAGGAGACGTATTAGGAAGAGTAACATATGAAGGGGTACTCATCTCTCTTTAGGACCTTTGGTGACATTGTATCCAGTGTTAACAAGACTTCAGTTCCCTCGATGAGCTTCACACAGTTGCTGAGGTGCTCCATCGATGTGTGGCTTTCCTTGCTGTCTAGTTCTGCTCCTGATGCGTGACTCTTCCCTTCCTTGCCTAGGTATTCCTGGAGTGGAGAGCCTCTCTTTTTGACCTGTCCCACATTAGAAGTCTCAGATGTCCCCGCCTGCAGTGGCTGTGGAGGCCAGAGGACCTTTGAGTTTCAGCTTATGCCAGCACTGGTTAGCATGCTCAGCAGTGCTAATCTAGGTAAGAAGCCTTTACTGACTCAAGTGTGGATGCTATTCAAATGAAATGCTTTCTTTAGCTATTAGAGAATATATAGAAAGTCTGAGAGATTGTAAGAAGTTTGTAATTCAGCAAAATTCTGGTACCATCACCACCAGTAACTACTTTGATGATTCGAGACTGAACAGGTTAATTAGTACAGGAGGGAGCAGAAGACAGCCTCACTTTTCCTGGGACTGGAGCTGAAGAGGGGTGTGGGCTGCCCTGTGGGTGCTGGGCGTGGCACTGGGTCCTCTGGAAGAGCAGACACTGCTTTTACCTGCTGTGCCATTGCTGCTGCTCTTAATATTTTTCATTGCAGCACCGTACAGCCAGGTTTTAGACATTATTGTTGTTTGTTTTTGACATAGAGTCATACGTATCCCACCCTGGCTTTGAACTTGATACGTAGCTGAGAATACCCATGATCTTCTGATCCTCCTGCATCTACCTCAGAGTGAATGATGGGATTGCAGGTGTGTGCCAGAATACCCTATTTTTAAAAAATTTATTCATTTGTATTTTATCTATGAGTGTTCTGCACACCAGAAGAGGACATCAGAGCCTATTACCCATGGTTATGAACCACCATGTGGGTGCTGGAAATTGAACTCAGGACCACTGGAAGAGCAGTGTTCTTAATTGCTAAACCTTCTTTCTAGTCCCCAGAATACACAATTTTATATAATGAATCATTGGCACTTAACAAAGTTGCTTAGAGGACAGCAAGATGACTCAGGGTAAAAGTAGATGTTTCAGTGGATAAAGAAGTTTGTCTCAAATACCTGACAAACTGAGCTTGATCCCTGAGAATCCCACAGTAGAAAGATAGAAGTGATTCCCAAAAGTTGTCCTCTGGCTTCCACATGGAGTGTGTGGCCTGCAAGCACCAAACACACACACACACACACACACACACACACAAACACGCTTGAGTGCACGAACACTCAAATAAGTAAAACCAGAGCCAGCGAGATGATTAGCAGATAAGGACACTTGCTGTGCTACCCTGATGCTGTGCTGCATCTCAAACTCACCTAGAGGGAAGGAGAGAACCGCCTCTCGAGAGTTATCCTCTGACCTCCACGTGTGCACCTACACCCAGGCAGATAACAGGATTACCACACAGATGCAGGAGCACCCACGCAGATGCAGGAGCAACATGCAGATGCAGGAGCACCACACAGAGATATAGGAGCCCCACACAGATGCAGGAGCCCCACACAGAGATATAGGAGCCCCACACAGATGCAGGAGCCCCACACAGATGCAGGAGCCCCACATAGCAACTACAAATTAGTTCTATAAACCACTTAGCTGGGGTAGGTACATACTTCTAGTCCTCCTTGGGAAGCTGAGGCAGGACAGTGCTTGAGGACAGCCTTGACAACTCATTGACTGTTTCAAGAAGAGATGGCTCAGTGACTCAGGAAACTGGCTGCTCTTGCACCCACACTCAAGCTCCATTCTCAGCACCCACACACTTCCTCACAACTGTTTGTAGCTCCGGTCCCAGGGAATCTGATGCCCTTTTCCAGCTTCTGAGGGCACTGCACAAATGTACACAAGCAGACAGAATAGCAATACATGAAATGATAAAAAAAAAAAAATCTTTAAACTAAAAACAAAGTAGGAGCTGGGCATGGCATCATATTCCTTTAACCCCAGCACTCAGGAGACAGAGGCAGGTGGTGCTGTGAGTTGAAGCCAGCCTGGTCTGCATTACATAGTAAGTTCCAGGTCAGCCAGCGCTGTTACACAGAGAAACCCTATCTCATAAAATAAACAACAAAACAAACAAAAAATATTAAATTGAATTTAAAAAAGTAAATTCTTTCTAAATGTAATTAATTTGTTATTATATACTGCTTTTTAAAACTTTTAAAAAGGCAAGTGTACAGTTTGGAGCTGGAGAGATGGCCCAGAGCTAATGGGGAATTTGCAGCTTTTGCAGAGGGCCCTAGTTCAGTTCTCAGCGTCCACATTGCAGCTCACACTGCCTGCCACTCTGGTCCCAAGGGGGTCTGATGTTCTCCCTGACTTCCTTGCACTCCTGCATTCATGTGGTGCATATACATACACATAAAACAAAACAATGTAGTTTTATAATAAAGTAATATATTAGTGAGTTTCATATTATTCCAGTGAACTTTGACACTACAGATGGCTAGGCATGGTGGCATAGCCTGCTCTACATAGTAAGGCTCTGGCTAACCAGGTTAATAATAAGACACTGTCCAAGTCTCTGGGCTCTGTTAAGGGCAGCATATCATGGCAGAACCATGTGGCTGAGCTAGGAAACAAAGGAAAACAGGATGACTAGGACGTCATGGGCTTCTCTGAGATTACGTACCTGATGACCTAAGGACCTGCCCCATTGGCTCCACCTCCCAAAGGTCCACAGGGCCTTCCAGTTGTGTTATCCTGGGGCCTAGGCTTTTCTTGTCTGTTTGCTGCCATGTGGAGCTGTGGCTGGCTAGAACTTACTGTGGAGGCTTTTGGTTTTCTTTTTGCTACTTTTCAGGGCTTGGAATCAAACTCAGCATTTTCCCTGCCTCGTTTTTTTCTTCCAGTACTGAGGAAGGAACCTGCTGCCTTGGTCATGCTAGGCAGGCGGTGTGCCACTGAGCTATATCCCCAACTCAGAATCACTTTTCCCCATAAATTTCATAGCAGTCTCACCATTTTCCATTTCAATGTCGTCATTTGAGTTCTCTTTCTCTGTCTCTCTCCTTTTTTCTTCTTTTCTATTGAGGCAGGGTGTGTGTGTGTGTGTGTGTGTGTGTGTGTCTGTGTGCGCGCGCGCGCGAGCGCGCGCTCTGGCTGTTCTGGAACTCACTCTAGACCAGGCTAGCCTTGAACTCACAGAGATGCGCCTGCCTCTGCCTCCCTGAGTGCTGGGATTAAAGGTGTGCCCCAGCACTGCCCAGTTTGCCTAGCTTTGTGTGTGGCTTTCTGGGGCTCTAAACTCGGATCATAGGGCTGAGCAGCATGAGCTCTTACTCACCAAGACATCTTGGTGGCCCTTGTGGGGTTGGGGGTTTGGATTTATTTTAGAGAAAGTTTAGTTATTATGGCAGAAATAGAAAAACTGCCGTTTGTTTTGGTTTATGAGGCAGGGGTATGGTGTAGCCCTGGATAGCTTGACCTGGCTGTTTATCCAAGGCTGACATTGAACTTGTGAGGCCCCTGTGTTCACCTCATCATGAATGTCCTTTTAGCTGTCTCCCTGTTGGAGTCTAAAGCATGTGGTGCTTTGCAGGTCTTACTGTGGAATTCGGAACAGTTCTCGTTTACACGTGTGAGCAGAGCTGCTGGCCTGCGACTCAGCAGGCTCCCATGGAAGAATTCTGTCTCATACAAGAAGACCCAGATGAAGTTCTATTTAAGTAGAACACCTCCTCTTATTTATACAAATTAAAACAAATTTTCACATTCAAATATATGTATGTTTGCCTTATTTTAGCTTCGCTCTTCCCCTGAGACAGGGTGGTCTTGAACTTGTGGCAATCCTCCCTCAGACTTATATAAATTATTAACTATTATCTTTTGTTTGTTTTGTTGTTTTTATTTTGTTTTGTCTTGTTTGAGCCATGGCCTCTCTATGTAGCCTAGGCTGGTCTTGAACTCAACGATCGCCTTGCCTCAGCTTCCCAGGTGCTAGAATTACAGGTGAGGGCTACCATGCCACCTTTAACTGCTCCCCCCCACCCCCCCAGCAAGACAAGATTTCTCTGTGTTGTTTGAGCACTTTCCTGCCAGCCTGGTCCCAGGTCCCAAAATAACACACAGAGACTCTATTAGTTATAAAGCTGTTGGCCAATGACTAGAGCTTCTTATTGGCTAGCTCTGTCTTAAATATTAATCCATGATTACTAATATATATATTTCTGCATGGTCTCATCTTACCGAGAACAGCAGACTCCAGTCCTGTCCTCCTGAGATCACATGGCAACTCTCCTATGTTTCCCAGAATCCTCTACCTCCCCTTGTCCCACCTATCTTGCTTTCCTATTGGCCAACAGTGTTTTATTCATTAACCAATAAGAGAAACATATTACAGAATGTCATCTCCCATCACTGTAACAGCTCTGGTTGTCCTGAAACTCTCTCTGTAGACCAGACTATCCTTTAACTCAGAGAGTTCCTCCTGCCTCTGCCTCCCTAGTGCTGGGATTAAAGATGTGTGCCACCACTGCCTATTAACTTTCTTCGTTTTTTTGTTTTGTTTTTGAATACAAGGTTTCTCTGTGTAACAGCACTGGCTGTCCTGGAACTTATTCTGTAGACCAGGCTGGCCTGGTCAGAGATCCACCTGCCTATGCCTCCCAAGTGCTGGGATGGAAGGCGTGTGCCACCACCACCCATCTTAACAGTTAATTTTTTTTTAATTTATTTTTTTATTTTTATCTTACATATTGATCCCAGTTCCCTCTCCCTCCCTCCTAACAGTTATTTTTAATATTCCCTTTTCTTTCTTTTGGAGACTGTGCTGGGACTTGAACCAGCACCTCCTGACTTCTGCATGGTAGCAATTACAAAGTGTTTCGTGCTGGCTGGAGACCAGTGACCCTGTCCACAGACACCCTGATGGGCATTCCGTCGATAGTGTAGCAGTCAGCAACTTCCCATCCCCCTCTAGTGTAACACACTACACCCTTACTCAGCCCTGCATAGCATCCTGCCCTTAGACCCTCGCTGCCTAGGCCTGCCTTGTGCCTCTTAACTCAGCAACATGCTCCTGCAGCATCCCACGAAGGGTCTCCGTGCAATGGCCCGCCATCCAACTGTCCGCTTATCCGGTTTTCCCTTTCTGCATTCAGTCTCTATGTCACTAACCCCTTCATTTCTTCTCCCTTAACAGCAGTATGGGAACACTCCCACTAATCATGTTCTAACATGCTCTTGACTATGCAGTGAGGTGAATGGAACCTGATGAGCACGGGATGTGGTCACGTGTGCAGTGTAACTGGTGTGAATTCTCTCTGAAGGAAAGTGGCTGTGTGTACATTTGTACAAACTGAAGGTTCTGATCAGCGAGGCTCCAGCAGAGCTTGGCCAAGCATAGATAGCACTGCAGAGAGCTGTTCACTCTTCTTCCTCTGCCATGGCAGGAAGTCCCCTCCGGTCTCTATGGGGCCTGTGCTGTAGACAGTAACTGCCTCAGCTGGCTAGACCAGTTACTCCAACTAGAGCAGAAGAAGACCAATTATGTCACCGCTGCGGGGCTTTGAGTTTATTCAGACGGTCAGGCAGATGTTCCCTCTGGCCAAGGGGCATCTGGACAAGAAGTGTTGTTGCTTAATTGTATTTCTTTGAGTCAGGTGCTAATGAGGAGGATACAGGGTGTTAGCTGGGTTGGGCGTTTGCTCAGTGTTAGAGTTTGGCAAGGCCCTGCTTTCATCCCTAACTCTACCAAAAAAAAAACAAAACAACACAAAAAAAAAAAAAAAAAAAACAAAAAACCCAAGCCATTCATCACACCTTTTCTGATTGCTAGGGGCCACATTGCTTTTCTCTTTTAGAACAGGGTCTCCAGTTTGCTGTGTAGCTAATGATGATCTTCTAATTTTCTTTTTTGGGACTGGATTCCTCTGTGTAGCTTTGGTGTCTGTCTTGGAACTCTGTCTGTAGATCAGGCTGTCCTCAGACTCAGAGATCTGCCTGCCTCTGACTCCCAAGTGCTGAACTTCTAATTTTCTTCCTTCCACTTCCAAAGTTAAAGGAACTTGCCATGCTTGGTTTATAGGGTATTGGGGATCAAAGCCAGGGCCCGGTGCATGCTGGGCAAGCACTCTGCTGACTTACCTCCAAGCTCAGACCCATTTTGTTTTCTGAGGCACAATTCCAGGTTGGCATCATACTAACCCATTCTCCCTCTGCCTTGCCATTTCCTACTCTCAGGTGAAGGTAAGCTGCTGACCAAACCTGCTGTGTGTGTGTGTGTGTGTGTGTGTGTGTGTGTGTGTGTGTGTAGGTATGGACAGAGGTCAGCAGAGGGCACTGATGACCTCGTCTATAATTCTCCATCTTATTTGATGCACGATCTCTCCCTGAACCTGAAACTCAGGTATTTCTGCTAGTCTGGCAACCAGTGAGTCCCAGTGATTTCCTGTTTCTGCCCACGAAGTGGGGCTTCAGGGGCTCTGCGGGAGCAGTGAGTGGGAGCCTTCATGGTGAAGAGTGGTAACAGCAGAAGTTGACATCTGCAGGAGCCATTCTCAAAGACTTCAACATGGACCATTCAATCAAACGCCATTTGTCATTGGAAGCCAATGGGAACAGTGAAAAAGCTTGATGAGTGGGTGCCTCATGAGCAGACTGAAAATTTAAACACTGGTTTGGGTTGTCATTCTGTCTCACCTTATTCTACACAAAGGACCATTTCCCACTTGGATTGTTGACACGCTAGAAAATAGGTTTAAGTTTTCCCCCTAGCATGTGACTTTATTGAGGCTGCAGTGGTTGACACTGCTTTCTGAGCTTCGACACACTTCCCAAGAATGACAAGGAAAAAGATGCCAGAAAGTTGGCCAAGAAAGATGAAATCCAGTAAACCAATCTGGGGGCAAGGCCAAAAAGGAACGTGATCCAAAGGCTAGTTCAGGGCAAGCTCAGCCACCTAGTATTCTATGTATGTGTGTGTGTGTATGTATGTATGTATATGTGTATGCATATGTATATATACACATATATGTAATTTTTTAAAAAAACTTGATATGCATTGTTGTCTTGCCTGCACATGTGTCTGTAAGAAGGTGCCAGGTCCCCTGGAACTCACCTAATGCTGTTTAACAAAGCTCCATATGACAAACTGTAAGGGAACTCCCCAACTGTGGGCTTATTACCCCTGCTCGTCTTAGAGACTAAAGACCAGGCTGGCCTAGAACTCACAGAGATGCACCTGCCTCTGCCTACCAAGTGCTGGGATTAAAGACGTGCGCCACCACCCGGCCGCATTGCTTTTTGTAATGAGACTGGAACCTAAAAATTTTGAGCGTGGTAAACACCCCAACATTCTCAGCCCAAGTTTTCCATTTCCTTTGTGTCAGGATAGGTCCTTTCCCAATAGATACTGCTTGAACAATTTTCTTAATTCACAAGTGCTCCTTACATATAGACTCGTAGCTTTTTTTAAAAAACTCTTACGTAAGGAGTTTTCGTTGGGAGTTCAAACCAAGGTCGTTAAAAGGCGACGGTAGGCCTGTGAGGCCAAGAGCCAGCCTGTGCTGCTCAAGAACGTTTCAGGGAGGCATCCCAGACCTCAGCGTGTCTCCCGGCCCCATGCTGGCGCGGGCTGGCGGCCTCAGCGCGCAGGAGCGGAAGCTGCGCCGCCCTTCCCCCACTGGCTTCCGGCTGCCGCTCGGGTTCTCCCGCCTCCGACTGCGCCGCGGCTCGTGGACATCCCGCCATGGCACTGTCGCGGGGGCTTCCCCAGGAGCTGGCCGAGGCGGTGTCCGGCGGCCGGGTGCTGGTGGTGGGCGCGGGCGGCATCGGCTGTGAGCTGCTCAAGAACCTGGTGCTCACCGGCTTCTCCCACATCGACCTGGTAAGGCCCGGGCTCCGGCTGAATGGCGGGCTGTCTGCGGGACGCGGGGCCCGGATCCTGGGCGGGAGTCAGGGCGGCGCGGCCCGAGAGGCCGGGGGTCAGGATCGCCGCCCCGGGAGCAGATTGGCGAGGGCCCCGGCTCCCCGGCCTCTGTCCGTGGGCCTCCTCTCCCCAGGCCTGCGCGCGCCGCCTCCCGAGCCAAACAGTTTCCCCAGTTACTCTGGGATGCAGGAAGTGGCCGAGACCCCTGTGGATGCTGTGACTTTAATTCCAACGGGCCCTTAACTTCGAAGTAACGACCCGCCGTAGAGCGGCTTGCAGCCACCAGTGGCGGCACCCCGGGCGTGCACACTTGGATTCCCTCGAGCATGCCACCGGCCTCCTCCAGGTTGCAAATTTCTGTCTCCATCCCGTTTTATTTTTAACAGATGAGGGAAGTAAAACGCTATGAGGTTGAGTAACTTACCCTAGGGGGACGCCGCTAGTGGCTGGATGGATTCCTTAGGGGCTCTCGCGCCTCTGGGCTGGGCACAGTGCAGATGGGACACTCGTTTATGTCATTAAAGATGTTCTCTTGGGTTTGCGCGATTGGGTGATCGCTTGGCATCCCTGCAGTCGGGTGGCAGTAGAATGGGGAGTTTGGGGTTCGCTTGAGCTACGTAACAAGACCTATCCTCAAGAAATTAAAAAAAAAGTTTTCGGTTGTCGGTATTCTAAGTTTTCATGGGTGCGCCTCTGTAATTTGTTAAAGTGTTGGCGATACTATCTGGATCTTGGATGTAAGTTGAAAATGCCTTAAGGTTTAGCAGAAACATGGAATGAACTTGTAGGTGTCGGTGTAAGCCGAGGAGGAATTGAAGTCAATGCATTTTTCATTGGTTAGGCTTCACAC